CCCAATACCAATATTGGAAGTACACCAAGGGAAATACTAGTATTATAAATAGTTTTTTAATATTAACAAAAAAAGTTGTATTTGGTTAGTAAAAATTTATAAAGTTTCAGCTGTCCGTACTGGGAAAGGGATAAGGGGTATCATGTTAAAGTATTACTTTGGATTGGAAATCCAAATTCAGATCGAATTTCGGCCAGTGTTCCTTTTGGCCACTGAGGCATGTCGATCGCTTGTCTTCGCAACAGCTGCGAAGGAGGGGCTGGAGGTGACCAGTCCGTCCATCGGTGGAGGCTGTGTTTCGCCGCTGCTCTTGTTTATAAATCAAGTCACATTAAGTGTAATAATAAACGCAGATCGAGGCGAACTTGAGCCGGTTCTCCGGTTCTCCTTCGATTGGGCTGGGGCAGCTTTGATGCCGTTCTGCGGCGGCGAATTGAATAAGTCATAAAGGGAGGGCGGAGCGCAAGGTGGGAATTAATAAAAATCTGGCCAAATTGTGGCACCAGCGCGTTCTTCCACTGCGTTCTTCTCCGCTCGGATAATTATGGAGAGCATGCCAAAAGAGAGAGGCCGGCGGAGCAGAAGAAATGTCAAAACGTACGCTTCATTGCCGTCGCTTGTCTTCTGGCTTCAGTCTTCTGCCCAAGTCTTCGTCTTCTGGTCTCTCGCTTTGCTAACGATAACGACAACAAAATGCTGATGGCACAAATTATAGTCAAGCAAGAAAGAAAAACGGTGACGGAGACGGAGCTGCAGCTGGAGTTTAAAGCTGAAGTTGGAGTCGGAAAAAGCCGCAGCTGAAGACCGGCAGTAGAAAGCAGAAAGCTAGCCAGAAAGCCTCCGTCCCCAAGCCCGCTTTGTCTCGAGCCCCACAATTTCCGCCATTTATGACAGTCACAAATCGAGTTACACTCACATACCCACCGCCTCGTCTTTAGCTCCAGCTTTAGCTTCAGCTTGGCCTCAGTTTCGGCCTCAACTTCAGATTCAGCCTCTCCTCCAGACCGCCGCGTACTTTCTAATTTCTAGGCGCACTTTTCCTCGTTGCTCGGCTCCCTGGCTGCCGTTTTTGATGTTTGATACCCTAAAAAGTTGGGTGGTGGGTTAAACTATGATAAAAGGGTCATTCACACTTCGAAAAGCAAATAATACGAAAAAACTGTTCTACGTCCGAGCATTTCAAATTTATTACAGTCTTATATTTTTTCATATTGATATTTTTATGATAGTTTGTGAGGAAAGAAGCAATTAAAAGTGATATAAATGCTGGCTATAATTTCCACCAATTTCCTTCGGTTCGCAATTTAATCTAAGATGTTTTTAAGACAAAGTTATCTAATAAAGATTTCTTAATAAATATTCACCGTTCTAGTGTATGCAAAATTCGACTTCATTGTTTGTATCTATCAATATTGTTGTTGTCATTGCTTTCAGTTGAACAAACAAGTTTTTGGTATTTTTTGTTATTGTCCATCTCTTGAGCGTCCGCCAAGTGTTAATGTTCATTTGTGCATGCGATATTCCTCAAATTGCATGCAATAGAAATTTGTTGTCGAGGTCACACAGCTCCGCCAAGCGAGCATCAAAACAGACCCAATGTCGCCCCTCAGTTCCGTCTATCCCCCGATCTTCTGTCCCCGAGCCCCGATCACCGACACCCAATCCCCGCCATAACCATAACCATTCACAATGCCAAAACGGCAGCAGCAGAGAAAAACGACGCTTTTGGAGGAGGTTTTTTGGTAGCTAAGTGATGGGAGGTCAAATCAGTTACAGTTACGTGTGGCTGTTTTGGGCCGACAGGAGAACGTTGTTGGCGGCCAGTTGGCCAGTTTTGGCCAGAAGCAGAGCGAATGGAAAGTAAAGGAGGCCTTTGGCTAATGAACCTGAAGTGGAGCACTCCTCAAACCGAACGGAAAAGACTGAATTCCAATTCGAGCATTTGATGATCTAATGTCAGTTCCAATCGACTGATCTCATTTACATTCTTTGCACATTTATGCCAAATAGGATCATTTTTCCCATTATACCGTTATTACCATTACGTTTGGTAAGCAATTAAGTCTTCGGTTAACAGAAAATCAGACTGAAACAGCACAATAAATATTTTCAGTACTATTTAAAGGCCAATAAAGGCATTTTGTACTTAGTTCTACCTACTACTTTTTCGCTGTTACTATTACATCGTTTGAAGAAAAAATGTAACTATCTTTCTTATATGATTTACATGCCTGGAACGTGATATGCGGATATATAGATCACGTATCGTAACTTTCAACCGGTCCCGATTCGACAATTTCTGGAATTTATAGTATCCCCAAGCCGAGACTTGTTTTTTTTTTTAAGCATTCTGATACAGTTATTCTGAATCAATTTTCCCGGTGAATGGTTAGAATATTTTTAGATTTCAGTAATTTAGTGGAGCTCCACTTGAGACGCCCCCTTGTGCTTCCTCGTGGGCCGAAGCCACATGCTCATGGCCGTTTGTCATTTCCAGAGGCGCGCCAATTGCCGTAGTGGCCTCCGAAGCATTTTTGCGCTCTCTGTGTGAGAAAATGTGGCCAAACGGTTAATAACAGGGGAGTAGGTTCGCCAAAAGGGGGCTTGGTTTGGGGGAGCTGAAGGGTGCGGCGGTCGTAGAAACGGCAGCAACAGTCAACATAACTGAGCTCGAAGGAAAAGCGTGAGCAAGCCACAGTTGCGGTCAGTAGAGTAGCAACATATTATTAATGCGCTCATATTAATGAAATAACAATATTGATAAGTGAATTAGAAACAAAAAGTTATTTGTAGTTGTTTGAACTAATATTAATAGGCACCAGTAAGTACTATTTTAATACATTTTTATTCCCAGAACTCGACTTAAAGCTTTTAAATTAAATCCACTTCCAGCATTCCTACCGCAACTGTGTGTTAGTATGTGACTCTTTGGAGGAGATTCCAGCGATGGCTGCCGGTACAGGAAGCTTAAACTAGTTCTAGTACGAGTAGCTGGCTTCTAGCTGGGCCACAAACTGGGACACTTGTTGCGGCAACTTGGACATTCGATGGCTGGATGGCTGTATGGCTGGCTGACTGGCTGACTCGGCTTGGAGGCAATCAAACTGGCAGCCCCAAGATGACAAACATACAAAACTTCCCACGCAGCTGTTACTCCCATGCCGCCCCTGCCACTCCCACTCGCCGAGTGCCCGAAAAGAGAAGCCAGCCTAAATTGTCTTAATGGACCATGAAGAGCCCGCGGCGATACTAAGTCTTAAAAAAGTCCACAGCCCAAAGAGATTCGATGCTGCAGATGGCGGCAGGCGCGCGTAAATCTTAAAAACCGCCCAATTAAACAACACAAAATGTGTATAAAAAACAAGGCGACACAGAAAACAAAATCTTCAGCGAGGAGGAAAGAAATCGAAAGAGTGAGAGAGAGAGAGAGAGAAGAGAGAGGGCCGGCGGCGATGTTGGCGTGGATAAGCCCAAAAGAAAGTTTTCTTTCATTGACAAAAATTTTTTACTCAGCTTGGCTGTCTTTTATTTTCCGCCGCGTACAACGACTTGGCCCCAGTTGGCCGAGGGCTCTCATCGTAACCCATTAAGATTCCGAGCCGGGTCAGAAAATTCTTGTAAATATTTTCAAAAAACACAACATTTCTTGGCGTACATTTTGAAAAAACATTCTACTAGCTAAATATTGTTTAGTTTGTTTTAAATCGAAATTAGAAAAATGGCTTGAAAATACCAAGCAAAGTAAACTAGTTCATTATTTCCAGCTTCTGCTCTGCTTTCCTAATTTCTCCATCCCGCATTTTCGTCTAACCCAAGGAAAAGCACATAACTTTGTGACCGAACGAAGAATCCAGCGTTAATGGGTTAATGTTGCTCTTGTTGTTTGTTGTTGTTGTTTTGACACTACTTAAACATGTGACGTATCTATCAGAAGCATATCGAATCTGAATATGGCCAAGGTGCTATGTCCTTCCAGATCGCTAGCGGAATCAATCGCAATGTACCTCTATTTTAAAGATAGCCTAGTTGAGTTTTCCAAGCTTGAAGAAAAGTCGATTAACTAATAATCCGATACACGAAATTGACTTTACATATTTCAGGCAGCAGGCGATGTAACAGGTTGTTGGTCGGCCTCTCTTTCACTCTCTCGGGCATTTCGAAACGCTGGCGTCGCTGCTTTTACCTGTTGCGTTGTTGTTGTTGTGTTGTTGCTGCTGGTACTGCTGGTGCTGCTGCAACTGCTACACCAACAACAACAACAACATGGATGCTGCTCCGTCGGTTTTGCTGCTGGTTTTGTTTGATCTTGTGTCTTATTGTTGCGCGTTGTCGTGTATCTTTCTGGCTGTTATTTGTTGCTTTCCTTTCCTCGGATGCGATAGCCCCTTCTCCCCATCTCGCTCACTCGACTGTTGAATTTATTGGCGCATATAAATGCCTCAAAATTGATGTTATTGTCGTCCGATACTACCTTTCTACCTCTCTCGCTTTGTTTTTGTCCTGCTTGTTTGGAAAATTGATTTTTACTCGGACTTTTATAGCCGTAGTGTCCGAGCGATAAGTGGAGGGAAAACCCGCCTTCGGTTGGCCAAAGAAACGCAGAGACAAAAGAAGAACAAATGGGCAAAGTGGGCGTAGCGCTGACAAAGTGGGTGTACCGAAGGGAATAGAGCAATTTTTGGGATCGGAGGGAAAAAGAGGGGGCAATGAGTTAATTTGGAGTGGGCCGAGCCTAGGGATTTTCAACGGAGTGACGTGGGCTTTATGCACGTAAAAAAGTATTGATTTTATAATGTTAACACTCAAAATAATAAGCAAACTTATGAAAACTATAAAATAAAATATATACAATACAATGTTTTCACAGCCTTAGAGTAAAATTTCCATTATTGTACGCCAAGAAAACCTTGATTAGGAATTAACATTTTTTCTGTGTGGAGAAACGTGGGCGGTTCAAATGCAACTGCAATTTCTATTGCCAATCTAACAGGAAAACTCACCTTTTGCGAATGCCAGAAGATGTGTTTTTTATTCCAATCTGATCCCTCTCTCTTTAAGGCTCTCTCTTTCTCCTTCGCTCCTTCTCTCCTTTCAAAACAAATCACAAATATTTGCGCATGCGCGACTGCGCATTCCAGGCATACGAATACAGGTACAGATACACACATACAGGAATTCACTTCGGCGTTTGTTTTGCGGCTAATTGTTTAAACAGCGCAAATTATTCTTCACACTAGTTTTATTTGTTTGTTTTTTGGCTAGGCACAAACACATTCACAGCGCACACGCAGTCGGATTCGCGCACTCGCTTATTTTTCCTGTATGTATCTTTTATTGGCCCCAGTTTTCGAGTTTTCATGCCCTTTTCAAGAGCCAAAACGACGCGTCGCCTGCTGCGTTTTCGCGAACTATTTTCGCATCGCTAAGAGGCCGAAAAAGGCGGTTTGAGCCGGTGCTCTTTACATTGGAAAACACATTTAACACTCTCGAATTAATGTTAAAAACATCAACAACTCAGGAAAGCCGAACCAAATATTTCAAAACTTGAATGAAAACAAATTTACCACAATTTTAAAGGTTTTTCTACAAGAAACCAAATTTGTCGCGTTATTTCTGCCGGCGAGCTGCAGCTTTCTGTTTTCTTTTTAACATCGAACGATCGCAACGACCGTAGTTTTGTGACTGAAAGCGACTGACTTCTAGAGGTGGGACGGATAAGACCACCGTTTCAATTGTATCGTCTATCGATGTTTTACGATTGTCAAAAAACGAAATCGATAATATATGGTTTAATCACCCCAAATATATTTTAATGGAGTTTCAACACTGTATAAGAGTTTCGAATTCATTTTACCAGCATTGAGGCTGTAATCAAATGTAAATGATAATAAAAATCTTTACTAAAATAGCTAGTACACAAACCAATCAGATAATCATGCAAAGTTAGGATCCAATGTTTTTAACAGAAATGTTAAGAAAGGACGTTTTAAGTTAACATTTTTGGTTTTCTTAATAAACTATCCAGTACGCCAACCAAAAAGTCCCATATATTCTTGATTTTAGTACACTTTTGAAATTTCTTATAAATGTTTGTGCTGGCCGTTATGTTGTAGTTGCACGTAAAAAGCATTTGCGTGTTAAAACTTCAGAACTTTAGCTTAAAAACTATGTATCAACCTACCAGAAATTTTTCACAAACCTGGAAATCTTCAGAAAAAATTGTCAATCCATGTCCGAGCCCCCAAAATCGTGCATTTACTTGGACCAATTAAATACTGTCAAGTTTGCTTTACATTACTTGTGTAATTTGATCTTTCATATGTATGTACATAAAAGCATAAAATATATTGCAAAAATACATATGTATACATGGTATGTGTGTTATATAATTCTCTCTAAAAAGGGTGTAAATCTTGCATACGGCTGTTAATTAGAATATTTGTTTACATCTGAACACTTAAAATTCCCCATCCTAATCCACTTAAATCTTTAAACCTAAAATTTAGCTTGGTTAACGAGTGTTTGAGTGTTTTTGTTGAGTTTGTGTGCATTAATCTGTAAATCTGTTCAAAATTGCGGCATTGTTCGTTAAAAATTGTTGTTTAAAATATAAATATTGATAATTTAACAGGTAAAAAGAAATAATTTCGTAAGAGTAGCTGGTTAAAACAAACAAATTCCAACAAATCCTTAAAATATGTATACACAAGTCGTCCGTATCGTCTTCAGCTTCGCTATCTGTTCCACGCGATCATAAAGACGCTTGATCCGTGACCAGCACAACGCTCTGCTCCTGCGCAATGGCTGCCAGCTCCTTAAGCCATTCATCCAAGAGCACAGCGCACAAGGCCAAGTCCCGCGATCGCTCGGTGCCACTCGTGCTTGCAATGATTCCCATGGAGGCCACGGAATCGAGGGACACTGGCTCGGAGTTGAAACCACTCGTTGACGGACCTCCATCCAGACCGTGCAGAGTGCTCGTCGAGTGTGTTGTGGTGTTCGACTGGGCGGAGAGGGTTTGAGTGGACCCGCCGATGCTGCTGTTGCTTCCAGAGGTGGCAGTCGACGTCGTCGTAGCTCCTGTGCGTGATGCTCCTGACTGTGGTTGGGTACTTAAACTGGTCTCGCATGTTCCGCCGACTGTCTGTCCTTGGGAAAAGCCTCGTCCCTCGACACTTGCATTATTTCCCACAATATTCGAAGCAGCTCCTAAAAAATTCAATCGTGATTAGTACAATATCATGGAGTTATTGACCGTTTTAGGTTAATTTCAAGAACAACGTAACTATAACATATAAATGGGATTCCACAAATGCTTATCTTATTCTACTTTAAACTACTTTTGGTTTAGTGGAAAAGCATAATTTACAAAGCTCTATGCGGGACTACTCACTAATTTTAACAAGACTATGCCAGTTGGGTTAAGATAAATAAATACTTTAAATACTTTTATCAAGCGTGAAATATTTACCGGTGAGGAATGCGTAAATTTGTGATAAGCCAGATGAAGCTAAGATTTGTTTTTTTTTCGTTTCAATAAAAATATAAAGAAATAAAAGAAATTAATTTATTATAAACGATGCCGGAGGGCATTTTACAAATATGTGTGAGAACCATTACTGCCTTGCATGAGACCTGTTTATGATTTTGCGATTTCGTACAAACATATTTAAATATTTAATAGATTTTTATGAGAAATGACTCTTAAGTTTCAGGCACTAATGCAGGGCTCAAGTATGTATAAATGAATTTTTGTGAATATTGTGTGATTATTTTGACCCAAAACCAACTTTCTTCCAAAATCCAGAGCTGCAGATTTGTAAACTGTTGGTGATTTCTATATTGTTTGCTTCGTTTTTCTTTTTTAGAAAAATAGAAGATGTGCAAAGATGTGACGGAAGCATGATTCTACTGTTACTACTTACCGGAAGAACCATTGGGGGGCGCCGTCGACGACGAGGCAGACTTTCTGCTGAACATGCTGGCGAAGGACTTGCTAATACTACGCCTCTTGTTATCACTTCGCTTGAATGGATCATAGGCACTGGTTGGTGTAGCCTGTACTGGCGTGGCTGCCGAAAGAGTAGCGTAGGCAGACCGCAGTTGTCCCTGCTGCTGACCGGAATTCGTTGCCATCTGTTGCTGCTGATTGTGATGCATTGGTGAACCCTCGTTACCCTTACGCGCGTTTGCCAAACGGAATTCCCTATCAATTAGCGATGAACGTGCTACATCAATGATCTCTAGGGAATCCTCTGTCACTGGCAATTCTGCATCTATCTGTTGTTTGAGAATGCGCAGAACCTGGTGAAACGAGGGTGTATCTGAGGTGATGGCTATGTCGGACCGCAGCAGCAGCGAGTGAATCAACGGCAGCGGATACCAGGCCAAACGAGTGATCAGCCCGGTTAAGTGAAGATTGACGTACAGCGAGTTGCTCGTGAAGGTTTGCAGTTTGCCCCAAATGGCATTGAGAAAGGGACCTAAAAGGATGAAAGTATAATTAATTACGAATTTACTATAATTTTACTCAACAAGAACTCTTACCCAAGCTTACGGTGCCCTGAGCAAACAAATCTTCTGAGAAGTCTAGATCCGTCAGTAGTAACTCGTTGCGGTTGTTCTGCGATATACGCCACGCCTCTCGTCTATTGGATCCACCCAGCACACTGCTTATGCTACTGCTGTTGTGCTCTAAATCTGCTTCGCTGGCTGTAGTGGCCAAAGTTGTATCAGTGGCCTCGATTTCCTCGTCCGCCGGTCGCCACTTAAAGGATTCATAGCCGCTCGACTCGCCAATCGATTGCAAGCTATCCAGCTGTTTCTCTCCCGTTTCGCTGGTAATAATAGCGCCTCCTCCGAATTCACTAAAGAACTGCTTTGCCAGTTCCAAGGCGTGGACGTGAACTCTTCCCTGACCTTGTCGTGGCCATTTTTGGTAACGATAGCTGTTTGCCCACTTTAGACAATCCCTTTGACACTGGGCAATCCGCCAGTGGGCCTCGAAGAGATACGCCTGGATATTCGCGTACAAACTATCACCCGTGTGCACTCCGTAATAGTTCCAGTTAGCTCCAATCGTCTTGCTCATAACTGGAGATGGAAGGCTGGGCAGCGGTGTAAGATCCCCAACGACAGGTTCATGAATACTTTTGGGCCTGGCCAAATCTCTCGCTCTCTTCATCACATCGGGAGAGAGGTCCAGGAAGAACTCACTGCTGTTCAAATACGGATCGATCTTGTTGATCTTGTGGCGATGTGAAATAGGGACATGCTTGCCAGGCAGCATGAACTTGAGTAGTAACTCCAGCATTAGGTCCTCGCAGTGCAATCCCAACAGGGTGTCAAACAGCGCCATTGTAACCATGCATAGATTGGCATCGGGTGAGTTCAAGCGCTCGACCAGAGCGTCTAGTATCCTCTCCCCATCAAATTTGTCCGTATCGAGCAGAAAGCGAACGAAAGCCCTTAAAAGTCCCGGTTCGGTGATGGAACGCAAAATCAGGTCTAGGTACGACATTGCAGAGATTTGAGAGTCGATGTTCGTCTGAAAATGTTTGCCCTTCAGTGTCTGCGAAAATGGAGCGCAAAAAGTTGTTTCGAGATTTCGAGGTGTGTGTGTGGTTAGCTACGAGGGAGGAAAAGGTACAAAAAATACACAAGAAACGGAAAGCTGTAGGCGGTGCAGATCCCTAAAAGCTAATAGCGTTTGAAATAAGTCTTTCGAATAGAGTAGATTTTAGTTAGGACTTCTTAAATCGGATCATTACCGAGTAACAAAAGACAAAAGAATACACATATTTTTTTAATTAAACCTACTACACTTAAAAATTAAACAGAAATTACCAGGATAATGTTTTATCAAACAAAATTTTATAAGAATTGGATTTCTATTATCACGAAACTAACTCTATTGTACATTTGTATTAGGTATAAACCTTTAAAGGTATTAATTTACAAAATTGTACTTTAAATATAACTGAATATAATAATCCTTAACTAATATCTACGTAGTTTTTTCTTATTTAAAGAGTGTTTAAAATTAATAAATAGACAATGGACAGGACATAAATGATTCGTTTGCAACCAACACCACAGAAATGCATCGAAGACAAATTTTCACGAGAAGAGACCAGGACGGTACAAAAGCGTGACGACACTCACCTGAAGGATCGCAGGTCCCAGCACGGGCACAATGAAACCCTGGTACATAAAGTCCAGCAGCTGCTGTTTTATCATCTCGTGGGCCACCTGGACAACGGCATTGCAGAATTCGAGTGCGTTCATGAAGAGTGTCAGCTCCGGAATCTCTGTCACATCATCAGGCGTTATCCGGTGCCAATCAATGGAGCTTATTTCGATAGTGTTCGGCAGTCGCGAGTACAGACCACCCAAACCAGTCACCAACAGTGGGCAGATCGAGGAGTACTGGGCTATGTAGGTTCCAATGTTGGAGTTCTTCTGCGAAAGCGCCATGCATAATAACAACGCATCGCGGGCTTGGTGGCCAAGACTGCCTTCCCGATGCACGTACGGTATGAGGAGTGAGAAGATAATAAAACTGCAAATACAATAAGTAAATATTTTACATAGCAAAGTAAGGCAATTAATGCTAGTTCAATGCAGTCACCATTAATAAATGGACTGTTAGAAAGTCAGTTTTTCTTTCTTATCTTGTCGCTAATTTTGTCGATGAATCATACAAAAAATACTACTTCACAGCTTTTTAGTTTTTGTTGAAATAAATTCTAAATTGATATTAGAATTCCCTATAAAATTACCAAAAGCTTAAATTTTTTGAAACGTCTGACTTGATTTACTCTATATAAACTTTTGATGCTCACTTTGTTGTGGTTCCACTTTTGGGAGGCGCCACGTTGCCATTTAAAATCTGCTCCTGAACTTGCGTCTGGGCGGAGAAGAAAAATAGGTCCAACAAATGAACATTCTGCATTAGAACCACGCACAGTTGGTTCAAAAGGATAACAAGGCGCTTCTCAAGATCAGGCGGAAAGATCTCGCCCTGGCTGGAAGCCAGTATCTTTAACAACGGTCGCAGAAAAGGCTCATGACAGAGCAGCTGGTGGCGCGAGTGACTAACGAGAAGTTCGTATAGCTTCAACTGCTCCAGCCTCACAGCGTTTGCATATCGTCCCGTGGTGCAGGCCCACTCATACAACTTGTCCAGTAGATTCTCACTGAGCAGGAATTCCAGGCACGGCGCCGCTGGCGGACCACTGGCCTCGGCCGCCGGCAGCGAGACCTTGTTGCAGTGATGCAGTTCCACAAGCAGCAGGGTGACCATGTAGTCCAGGTGGGAGACCACACCAAGTACATCGTCATGTGAGGGAGGAGCGCTGTGCTGGATGATCTCAAAGGCCTGCTGCCAGTGCTTGCAGAAGCTGTCGTAGCAGGCGCGCGGATCGCAATCCGTAGCTGCATCGATTGGTCGTTGTCGGAGTGGGCCGCCGTGTCCGGCGGAGGCAACTCCCCCACCACTGCTCTGGCGCAGCCACATAATTCGTATGTGTGCGATTTAGTGGCTCTTACTGACTCTGGTCCGATGATAACTGCTCCGTGTGCGTTCGGTTTGGCATGAATTGGTGGTGGTACTTTCTTATCTCGTTTTTGTGCTTTTGTTCGCCTGTGTCAGTGGTGAGTGTTCCAATGTAGCTTGTTTCGTAAATCCTTAGAAGCTTAAAAAGATAGACAGGTTTGCTGAATATTGTCTATTTCCCTAAAGATCATCTCAACAACAGTGCACGCCGTGACACACTTATACACACACATGCATACGTGTGAACACCTTTTTAGGCATTCATTGTTGTTGCTACTGCTGGTGTACACTCACCTGATGAATTTGGATTTGACCGTCGTCATCGTCTCAGCTGCTTTTTGCTCTTCGTGCGTCGTCTCGCTACGCCCATTGTTATTGTGTACTCCTATTAATATAAACTCTTGCAGCACTTGCAGCTCTTTTTTGGCACTTGGGCAATTACGATTACAATTACAAATACAATTAAGTGTTTGTACCAACACTTCCGCACTTTGCGGATTAGATTCTCGTCTTTGCACCTCAAATTTCGTTCATTTGACCCTGATTTTGTTGTCAAAAAGAGGGCGGAGGTTGAACCCACACTTTATTGACTCATTTAACACTATTTTTGTCGGATTTTTATAGCAATTTCGAGTAAATATTTACAATTATATCTGCACGGAAATAGAAAGTTAGATATGAGCATCTTCTATTAAAAATATCGATATAACTAATATTTCAAAGTAGTTCATCGATACGTTCTGCGATCGATATTTTTAACAACTATTTAATTTACTTGTCGAAGACCTTCATTTAAAACTTTTTTATACATAAGGACTGTGTTAAGTTAACCGGGTTAACGTATATAATCTAGATCTCGAAAAAATTTGTCCACCTTTTATCCGCAATATTTTGTGCCTTTTATGTGACCAGATTTTTTTATTTCGATCAGCTGTTTGCGGGCCGCCTTTTTAAATTCAGAACATGGTAATTGAAATGCCTATATTAAAAAGTATATTTTTATTATATTTACATAATTTCGATAAAGCGGCGCAGTTTGGCGCCCAGTCAACGAGAACCCCAGTGTATTGAATCGCGGCACTCCTTTACGCCACCGCTGCTAAAAAAGAACAAGCGGGTCTGTCAGCAGGAGTTGGAGCGAGAGCAGGAACTGGATAGGAAGCGGCGGATTACCCTTCGCAATGACGGCGACACAGTTGATCTTCCACTGCCCATTCGCTTTACATCGAATAGCGAGTATGAACGGTCCATTGCTAAGGTGCTGGCGCGGAAGTTCAAAGTGCCCATTGACAATTATATACCCGATTACGGGGGGAAAAGAGTCCTAGGCGTTCGACGGTGCAGTTCCCGGCGACCACTGCACGATCCAATGGCCTGTAACGCCCTGGTTCTGTACTATCCGCCCGCTTACACGGAGCACGAGCGCATGTCTATGGATCCCAACAAGGTTCTGGTGCATGTAGTTGTGGATCCGCTTCTAAGCAACATACTGCGGCCGCACCAGCGAGAAGGGGTGCGCTTTATGTACGAGTGTGTGGAGGGAAAACGAGGTGACTTCAACGGCTGCATTATGGCAGACGAAATGGGTCTAGGAAAGACGTTGCAGTGCGTCACCCTCGTTTGGACACTTCTAAGGCAGGGTGCTGACTGCAAGCCCACAATCAACAAAGCCATCATTGTGTCGCCTTCGTCTTTGGTAAAGAACTGGGAAAAAGAATTTACTAAGTGGCTGCAAGGACGTCTCCTCTGCTTACCTATGGAGGGTGGTAACAAGGAAAACACCATAAAAGCTCTCGAGCAATTCTCTATGACCTCTTCGAGGTTGGGCACGCCCGTTCTTCTCATCAGCTACGAAACATTTCGAATTTATGCGGATATTTTGTGCAAATACGAGTTGGGAATGGTGATATGTGATGAAGGCCATCGTCTAAAGAACAGCGACAATCTTACATACCAGGCTTTGATGGGCCTGAAGACAAAACGACGGGTCTTGCTCTCAGGCACGCCTATCCAAAACGACCTTACAGAGTACTACAGTCTAGTTAACTTTGTAAACCCGGAGATGCTTGGCACGGCTGCCGTCTTTAAGCGCAACTTCGAGAACAGTATTCTGCGTGGCCAGAACGCGGACTCAACGGAAGAAGAGAGGAAACGTGCTATCGAGAAGACGCAGGAACTGATTGGACTGGTTGATCAGTGCATTATCCGTCGCACTAATCAGATTCTTACCAAATACCTGCCGGTTAAATTTGAAATGGTCATCTGCGCAAAGCTCACTTCGATTCAGCTCGAACTCTACACAAATTTCTTAAAATCAGATAAAGTACGCCGTAGCTTAGCAGGTAAGACATACTGGAATATACTTCAACAGTTATAATAGTAATAGTTATTTAAAGATTGCAATGATAAGGCCTCGCTAACAGCACTAGCTGACATAACAACTCTAAAGAAGATTTGTAGTCATCCGGATCTTATACATGATAAAATCGCTGCCCGCGAGAAGGGATTCGAGAACTCGCAGAACGTGCTGCCTAACAATCACAACCTTAAGTATGTTATGTTATTTGACTTTTAATAATATATTATATCTGATCTATTTGCCAACCTAAATGTTTCAGGGATCTCAATCCAGAGCTGAGCGGCAAGTTCATGCTTCTAGATTTCATGTTAGCCGCCATACGTGCAGATGGTAATGACAAAGTGGTTTTGATATCCAATTACACGCAGACCCTTGACTTATTTGAACAGCTCGCGAGGAAGCGGAAGTACGGATTTGTCCGACTTGATGGTACCATGTCTATAAAAAAGCGGTCAAAGGTTGTAGACCGATTCAATGACCCGGAGTCGGATAGTTTCCTTTTCATGCTGAGCAGCAAGGCTGGCGGGTGTGGCTTAAATTTGATCGGAGCGAATCGCCTGTTTATGTTTGATCCGGACTGGAATCCAGCCAACGATGAGCAGGCAATGGCAAGAGTGTGGCGTGACGGCCAAAAGAAGCCCTGTTTTATTTATCGTCTTGTTGCGGTGAGTATATAAACTGTTACTGTGGAAAACTGACAACATTTTATTGTCTTATTTCAGAGTGGGTCCATTGAGGAAAAGATCCTGCAGCGACAGACTCACAAAAAGTCCCTATCGAGCACCATCATCGACAATAACGAGTCGGCAGAAAAGCATTTCACACGCGACGATCTAAAGGACTTGTTTACATTTGATCCAAACATTCTTTCCGACACGCATGAAAAGTAAGTACTAACTTTTTATTTTATTTTATTTTTTAACTCAAAAATACTTTGCTAGACTGAAATGTAAGCGGTGCGTTCAAAATATCCAAACGAAACCACCACCGGATGACACGGACTGCACCTCGCATTTGTCGCAATGGTACCATTGTTCCAACAACCGGGGCTTACCTGACAGAATTCTTGCCCAGGCCTGGACGGATAGCAAATGTATTTCCTTTGTCTTCCACCACCGGTCCCAGGCTCAAGAAGTAGTGACAAATGCTAAGGAAGAACCGTCGGTGCAAAAACCCGTTAGTCGCAAGCGCCCATCAACGCCCCTTAGTGATGATAGTGCCGATGAGGATTTCATTGGATTCTAGCAATTGTATGCTTATTGTTTATTCATTTTCCACGTTTCGTTTACTTAAGTCTAATCTTAAGCTAGTTTTTCTCGTTTTTTTCGCAATCTTAACAAGTAAATAGCATAACATTTCAAAAATGGAACCAACACTAAAAGAAAACGTGCTAGGGTTGAAAGTTTCTTAAGCACATTTAGAAAACTATAAATCAGTCCACAGTACAGGCTATTTTGTTTGTTAAATACTGAATAATTTATATAATAAAGTCGTCAGGAATCGCGCCGAATTGTAGAATAGCAGAGTTCAGTAAATTAAACTTCGGACCAATAAAAGTTAAATAAAATTCGGATTTTAATGTGGCTTCATTTGCATTAGAGCAAAATCGTAGTTATTTAAAATCAACAGCCAAATTCGCTAGCACGTTATTCTTATGCACATAAAAAGCAACATGGCATAAACAAACGTCCGGATTAAAACCCTGCTAAATACAGATTTATATTATGTTTGTATCTGTAAGTATTAAACCATTCGCAGTGTTAACACAGTCAATTGAACACTTGATGTATTCGGGCTCAGATGCTATACATCAATAATTTTATGCTCTAGTTCCACCCAAACATTGCTCTTCTCCGGCGCCTTCAGAAGTGGTGATGGCTGTTGTTGTAGCTCTGCTATAAATCCTCCGATTGCTTGATAATACCTAAAAAGGAAAAATACTTTTAGAATTGGTAAGTACAAGATTAGCACGACACTACCCGTCCACAATCCAGGTGTCGTTGTGCGAACCTCCCGGGAACTCAAGCAAACGCTTTAGCTCGCTACCGCATTTAGTATACAAGGCACGCATCATGCGCGGTGGCACTAAATTGTCCGCAAGACCCGATATAAACAAGAAGGGCACCGAACACTTGCTTATCTTGCTCATAGAATGATACTACATTGGTTTAAACAAACAATAATGTCATAATATAAACAACATACTCAACCAATGACTCACCTTATTTTTAAATAACAGATTTGGTATATACTTCACAGAGGGATGCACCAGCTCCACGGCCATTTCCGGTATGCTGCTGAATGTATTCTCCACAATGGCGCACATTAATTTTTGTCCATATATGGTATCAGCTGCCACGTCGACCACCACTGCTCCACCCAAGGAGCGACCGAAAAGGATCAATTGCGAGGGGTCCAGGTCGTGACGGGTGTGCAGGTAATCAATGGCCGCCCTAGCATCGGTAACCAATCCTCGCTCTGTGGGGACACCCGTCGACAAGCCATACCCCCGATACTCCACCATTAGAATATTGCAGTGCAAATGATGGTAGATCCCCCAGACCTAAGAAGTGAACCAAAATGTTGCAAAGTAAAGCTTTTGACAGCTTTGGGGTTCTGCTTACGTTCTGCATACGGTGTCCCATGTTTCCAGCGTTGCCGTGAAAGTAGAGCAACGTGGGCACCGACTTGGAGCGCTCCTCCGGCTGACTAATCCAAAAGGCGTGCAAAGTAACATTGTCGGGCGTTTTGATGCTGACTGTGATATGGGGCAGGTTGTGCATCGTCGGAATAGGTACATAAATGCGAGAGTTGGCTGGCAGGTCCGGATGATAGAGAAGAAGATCTTGGGCATAGTAGAATATTACTAAAAAAAAAAAATTTAATGCAAAATGGATGCAAGTTACGGATACGTACATAGGATGATTATAGCGAAGAGCGCCAACGTCATATAGCCCCCGTAAAAATAGTAGAATATGAAGCACAACAGGAAGGCTGCAAGTACTCCCACGCCCACTCCTCGGGACTTAGGCAAAGCGATGCCCACTTCTTTCATGTTCTCCTATTGTCCAGCTGCGCTACATGTCCAATGCTCTAATTTAATTAAATTGCATTAATTCCAGCACCAGAACACAAACGAATTGTAATTGAACACCGCCCACAGCTGATTTGGAAGACACCTGTGCGGTGCGATAAGTTATCGATATGTAGTACAGTAAACAGTGCCTGTAAAGAAATATACATACATATATTCAGAATACCAAAATAGACTTTATAAAATTTATTAATTGTGTTAAATTTATTTAATCTAAGCCGTTATAAAAAATGTTTTGGAAATTATAAAAAAGACGTAAATAAATCATTCATTATTACACATATTTTTAATAAGTCAAGAATAAAACATGCAGTTAAACCAATTTGCTTAAATAGAATACTATATTTAATTTTTACTCAGTAAATTTTACTATTTACTGTAAACTCTCCGACGAATGAAAACTCAAAATATTAATATTGTGTGTGTTTCTTTCATCCATACTTGCGAATGTAACAATTTCATTAATTTTATTAATATGTTAGCCGTAATGATATTTAGATTTTAAATGTTTAGATATTTTTAAATATCCCACATCATCACTGTCTTGCAGTTCCATCTCTTTTTGATCGAGAACGGGCACACTAATTCAAAATGGTGGAAAGATTTCTGCTGCGTCGCATGAGTAAAACGTGAAAAACTATCTTTTTGTTTCGAAAAAGTGCATTTAAAAACAAGTGGCCTGCAGGAAAACATAAACATTTGCCAGTACGACCGTATACAAGTGATTTTCCTGTATTTAATGAGCGCTATAAGGCAACTGTGTGTGCTACCACGAAAATATAATGAGCCAGGTGAGTAGGCCTTGAAAAAGCTGTGAATATCGAACGTCGGTGTGTGTGGAAAAGTCGGAAAAACTATGAATTTCTTCTATCATTTGAAAGCAGACAAATCAAATCATTTTGATCGGAGTTGTCGTGTGAGTATGAAGGGAAAACAAGTGCTACATACAAGGCAAACGCTCTGTTTTGTGGGCGTGGCTGCTCAGCCCCGAAATCAGAAGTCCCCTCGTCGCGAGACACCCGCACTCTGATGGCTAGCCATATAGCTGCTGATGGAGCAATTAGACAAAAGGATGGTTTTAGACATTATTTAGACTGTGTTTCATCCTTCTGACATTCCCTGACGGCTCCCAAGGCTTCGACGTGGCAACCAAAGTGGGTTTTGTAAAAATCCATTGGGTACCCATTTTCGCAAATTCTACTCAAATTCAAGAGTTTCGGTTTGTTTTTATTGAACGCGGCTATAAAAATCCTTCAAATTACATGGATTTCATAGTTTTTTCGACCAAATTGAAAATTTTCATCGATTACGTAATCAGAAATTGCTAGGTGCAAAGTTTCCTCTTTCAGATTTCTTACCAAATTCCTGGGATTTTGAACCCGCCAAAAGGCAACCGGCACTCTATTTCCTTAAATCCTTACTATTTTCGTTGGAATGAATTTATAAAAATTATTTTTTCCAAAATACCAAATATATTTCCACAGTTTTTTTTCTGTTTCACGAAGAGATCGCGTCCAGGAGATCGAAACCCTGGTTATTTCTAAGGATTTTCTGGTCTTCGCTCTCCAGGAAGTAGTGTCTTGTGATTACTGCGTTATGTGTGAAGTAGTCATGTGATCGATCCATATGCTACCTGGAACCGTGGCATTTTACATTTTTTTTCGTGCTTTTTGACATTAAAACCAGTTTTAATTGAAATTCTGGAAAGGACTCGCACCGTGAGACCCTTCGCCTCTTCGCTAAAAGTTTAATCACTTGTTTTTATTTAGTAACCTGTACTCATTCTCAGCATAAAGCAAAGATTTTAAACTTAATTGAAGTTGTATGAATAATTTTTCGTTTTTAAAGTTCGACCTTAATCTAGCCGGGATTATGAACCTTCTTTTTTCTAGAGATTTAGCTTTAGAGTCACACATTAGTCTTCTGCCTTAGTTAAATAGTGTTCTGGTTCTTGAAAAGAATTAAGTGGGAAATGTTAAACTTGTTTTGAGCAGGCTAGGTACTCTTTATCGTAATAAAGGGAATTCTGGCCAGGATTGGCAGGCTCCAAGACCTGCCTCTATCAGTTACAGTTATTTCTCATGGTCTCATGGTTTATCTAATAAACAGTAATTTACCTTCAACGTATATTGAATCTTAATATAAATTATCTTTAACCGGCTAGGCACTCAATGAATCGGCGAATAGTATTGGCTCAGATGAACAAGATGACACTCGGGAAGGGACCAATGGAACAGACCATAGTGGCAGTGGAAGTGGCAGCGGTAGTGGCTCCTCCGGCTCCGATTCAGACTCGGACAGCTCCTCTGGCAACTCCAGTGATGGACGCAGTTCTCCGGAAGGACACGACAAATCGTTATCTGTGGCCGGGTTTCCACCAACGGCCGCTGCTGCCCAGGCGGACAGCAAAACAAACGGGTTCACAGATGACCAGGAGGACAGCTCCAGTGACGGATCAAGTGGTAGCGATTCCGACTCCGATGCCGAGGGCACAGCAGAGCACATTATCCAGAGCAAGAACAATGCCAATACAAGCAAAAGCAGCTTGTCCAAAACGGAGCAGGTTGATGAGGACAATGAGACTGAGGCTGGTCAGCAGCAGCCAGCTAGTGATGGCTCTGCGGATGAAGCAAGTGATAGCTCTGCCAATGTCTCGCCCACATCCTCCAGCAGCAGCAGTGTACGTTAGGATATGATCGTATTTATTTGAAAGTTTCTAACATATTCCCAAACAGGAGGAGGAAGAGGAGGACTACAGACCTAAACGGACGCGCCAGGCGCGCAAACCACCGACGGCTGCTGAAAAATCCAAGAAAGCTCCAGCACCCAAACACAAAAAGAAAACGTGAGATTGTTTGACTCTTCTGTTTAAATATTTTTTGGCAAAGCTGTCGATTTATTTGCTAGCTGGGACTCTGACGAAAGCGATGAAAGTGAAGACAGTGATGTGTCCACCGCCAACAAACGCAAAACAGTAGCCTCTACCTCCAGAAGTAAACCCGCACAGCAACAACAAAGACGCAGGGTAAAATCGTTTAGCTCCGAGGACAGTGATGATGATGATGCTAGCAAACGGTAATGAACAAAATCGAGAAGTTTAATCCCTTCTTAACTATTTGTATCGTCTTTGAACAGTTGTGCCACTCGTCGCACAGCCGCCGCAGTTAGCTACAAGGAGGCCTCGGAGGACGAAGCCACTGACTCAGAGGATCTGCTAGAGTTTGAGTACGATGAGAGCCAGGCAGCTACCACTGCCGCCGCAGCCGAGGAGGAGGAGAAGTGCGAGACCATTGAGCGCATTCTATCACAGCGGGCTGGCAAGAAGGGATGCACGGGAAACCAAACAACGATTTATGCTATCGAAGAAAACGGCTTCGATCCAAATGCAGGTTTCGATGAGAAGCAAATTACAGACGTCCAGTCTGAGACGCAGTTCCTAATAAAGTGGAAGGGCTGGTCATACATCCACAACACCTGGGAATCTGAGGCTACTTTGCGTGAAATGAAAGCCAAAGGCATGAAGAAGCTGGACAACTTCATAAAAAAAGAGCAAGAACAGGCCTACTGGCGCCGTTACGCAGGTCCCGAGGACATAGACTATTTCGAGTGCCAGCTGGAACTGCAGCACGAGCTGCTAAAGTCCTACAACAACGTGGACCGCATCATTGCCAAGGGCTCTAAGCCTGACGACGGCTCCGAAGAGTATCTGTGCAAGTGGCAATCTCTTCCGTACGCTGAGTCTACATGGGAGGATGCCGCCTTGGTGCTTCGAAAATGGCAACGATGTGCAGAGCAGTTCAGCGAGCGCGAAAGCTCAAAATGCACACCATCCCGCCACTGTCGAGTGCTCAAGTACCGTCCAAAGTTCTCTCGAATCAAGAACCAGCCGGAGTTCCTCACAGCGGGACTAACTCTTAGAGATTACCAAATGGACGGTTTAAATTGGTTGCTGCACTCATGGTGTAAGGAGAATTCGGTGATCTTGGCCGACGAGATGGGCCTTGGCAAAACCATACAAACTATTTGCTTCCTGTACTCTCTATTCAAGCTGCATCACCTTTACGGGCCGTTCCTCTGTGTAGTCCCGCTTAGTACCATGACGGCATGGCAGCGGGAGTTCGACTTGTGGGCGCCTGACTTAAATGTGGTCACTTACCTTGGTGATATTAAATCAAGGGAGCTTATCCAGCAGTATGAGTGGCAGTTTGAGGGCTCCAAGCGGCTGAAGTTCAATTGCATTCTCACAACGTACGAGATTGTGCTGAAGGACAAGCAATTCCTGGGAACGCTTCAGTGGGCTGCTCTGTTGGTGGACGAGGCACATCGCCTTAAGAATGATGACTCGCTGCTCTATAAGTCATTGAAAGAATTCGACACTAACCATCGTCTACTTATCACTGGCACTCCGCTGCAGAACTCATTGAAGGAGCTGTGGGCTTTGCTCCACTTTATTATGCCGGATAAATTTGACACTTGGGAAAATTTTGAGGTTCAGCATGGCAATGCCGAGGATAAAGGCTACGCCCGGTTGCATCAGCAGTTAGAGCCATATATTCTGCGTCGAGTAAAAAAAGACGTAGAGAAATCGCTGCCGGCTAAGGTAGAGCAGATCCTGCGCGTCGAGATGACCTCGCTACAGAAGCAGTACTACAAGTGGATCCTCACCAAAAACTTTGATGCTTTGCGAAAGGGAAAGCGCGGCAGTACCTCCACTTTCCTGAACATAGTCATCGAGCTAAAGAAGTGTTGCAACCACGCGGCTCTCATTCGACCATCAGAGTTTGAACTTATGGGCTTGCAGCAAGATGAGGCTTTGCAAACTTTACTCAAGGGGTCTGGAAAACTCGTTCTGCTCGATAAGCTGCTATGCCGATTAAAGGAGACGGGTCACCGCGTGCTGATTTTTTCCCAAATGGTGCGCATGTTAGATGTGCTGGCTGACTATCTGCAGAAGCGCCACTTTCCTTTCCAGCGCCTCGATGGAAGCATTAAGGGAGAAATGAGGCGACAAGCTTTGGATCACTTTAATGCCGAGGGCAGTCAAGACTTCTGCTTCCTGCTCTCGACAAGAGCCGGTGGTCTGGGTATAAACCTGGCCACAGCCGATACGGTGATTATCTTTGACTCCGACTGGAACCCTCAAAACGATTTGCAGGCGCAGGCAAGAGCCCATCGTATCGGGCAGAAAAACCAGGTCAACATCTATCGCTTGGTCACTGCCCGCTCGGTGGAAGAGCAGATCGTAGAGCGAGCAAAACAGAAGATGGTACTGGACCACCTAGTTATTCAACGGATGGATACTACGGGGCGCACTGTTCTGGACAAGAGCGGCAACGGACACTCGTCCAACTCGAATCCTTTTAACAAAGACGATCTGTCCGCTATTCTGAAGTTTGGAGCAGAAGAGCTGTTCAAGGACGAGCAGGAGCATGACGACGACTTGGTTTGTGACATCGACGAGATTCTACGCCGGGCAGAGACCCGCAACGAGGATCCTGAAATGCCAGCAGACGACCTGTTGTCCGCTTTCAAAGTGGCCAGCATAGCGGCTTTCGAGGAGGAGCCGAGTGATTCTGCTAACAGGCAAGAGCACGATGCGGCAGGCGAGGAAGACGACAGTAAGGACTGGGACGACATTATTCCAGAGGACTTCCGTAAAGCAATCGACGATCAGGTGCGAGCCAAGGAGATGGAAGACTTATACCTGCCACCTCGGAGAAAGACTGTCCCCCCTAACCAAAATGAAGGAAAACGTGGAGCGGGAAAGGGTGCCAAAGGGAAACAGCAGGCTGACGACTCTGCCGGTGACTCTGACTACGAGCTGGGCTCCGAAGGTAGTGGCGACGATGGTAGACCTCGCAAGCGTGGACGCCCTACTATGAAGGAGAAGATAACCGGGTTCACAGATGCGGAGTTACGTCGTTTCATCCGGAGTTATAAGAAGTTTCCTGCTCCACTTAACCGCATGGAGGCCATTGCATGTGATGCTGAGCTACAAGAAAAGCCGCTAGCGGAACTAAAACGTCTCGGTGAGATGCTGCATGATCGCTGCGTTCAGATCCTGCACGAGCATAAGGAGGAAGAGCAAAAGACTGCGACGGCAGATGAGACGCCGGCTGCTAAGCAGCGTCGCGCACGCGCCACCTTTTCTGTGAAGCTAGGTGGTGTTTCTTTTAATGCCAAAAAGTTGCTAGCTTCTGAGCAGGAACTACAGCCGCTTAATGAGATCATGCCCAGCCTGCCCGAAGAGCGCCAGCAATGGAGCTTTAATATCAAGACTCGTGCACCGGTCTTCGACGTACCCTGGGGCAATGAGGAGGACACTAAGCTACTATGCGGCATTTACCAGTATGGCATTGGATCCTGGGAGCAAATGAAGCTGGACCCCACTCTCAAGCTCACTGACAAAATCCTTTTAAACGACACGCGAAAACCGCAGGCTAAACAGCTGCAGTCGCGTGCCGAGTACCTGCTCAAAATTATTAAGAAGAACGTGGAGCTTACCAAGGGTGGACAACGTCGACAGCGTCGCCCTAGAGCATCACGTGCCAACGATGCCAAGGCTGCTAGTCTGTCAGCTAGCTCGAATTTTGATAACAAGTTACATGAGGCAGAAGACGCTGGAGAAGGACGCATCGCCCCAGAAAGTAGTATCAGTCAAATGGATCCATCTACCGTGTCGCCGCAATAATGCTCCGGCCACCGAGCAATCTGGTACCACTGTGAAGAAAACCAAAAAATCTAAGGCCCGATCGAAAAAGACCAGCGCATCGGACAACAACGGCAACAAGCCAATGCACTTTACGGCCAACAATGAACCCAGAGCTTTAGAAGTACTGGGCGACCTTGATCCCAGCATATTTAATGAGTGCAAGGAAAAGATGCGGCCAGTAAAAAAAGCCCTAAAGGCTCTGGACCAACCTGATGTAAGTCTTTCCGACCAGGATCAGTTGCAGCACACAAGGGATTGCCTTCTTCAAATAGGTAAACAAATCGATGTTTGCCTCAATCCCTACGGCGAGCCAGAGAAGAAGGAATGGCGCAGTAATTTGTGGTACTTTGTATCGAAGTTCACCGAGTTGGATGCAAAACGTCTGTTCAAAATTTATAAGCATGCACTCAAACAGAAGACTGGCGATGGTAATGAAGCTAGTGAGGTAAAGGGAAAAGCGAAGGACGCATCAGGAAGTCCCACCAAGTCCAAACGTAATGGCCTGTCTGCTGAAGAGAAGGACAAGGAGCGTGAAAAGAGCGTTGGAAAAAAAAAGAAAAAGGACAAGGACAAGGAACGTACTGGACAGTCGCGATATCCGGAAACGGGTACACCATCCTCTGGTCGCTTTCCCAATGACTCACCTCTGAAGCGCAAGCGGGATGAGAACGATGTTGAAGCCAGCAGTGGAACAGCAGGTACTCCAGGTGGAGGCATCGGTGACCACCTTAAGTCTATGTCATTCAAGCGGCTTAATATGGACCGACATGAAGACCGAAAGAAGCACCATCGCAGTTCCGACTACTACGCTGGCAGTGGCCCACCTATGGGCAGTGGAGGGTATGAAGGAGGTGGTCGCATTGCTAGCCGACAAGGCCCCACCTCCCCCTCTGCAGCTAGTAGTCGTGGAGGTCGAGGTGGTTACGAACCACCGCCCGTTCCAGCCGGCTACACCTCAGAGATTGATCGGTGGCATTCTCGCGAAAGGTAATGACCGAAGTGGACTAATTACTTCCCTTGGAGGATTATTAATTATTTTCAATTGCAGATATAGCCAAGAATTTAAACGCGATCGATACGATGGTTACCCGCGCAGTGGAGGAGCTCAAAGCAGCTATCATCGCGAACGCGACCGACGTCCTGACAAACGCAGGTAATTAATCTATCTTCTAATAATTCAACAGCGTTATATCTATTGTGTTATATTACATGCATTTATATTGCTTATTTGATGGGTCCTTATTTCAGATATCCATCTGGCCTGCCACCACATCCTTACTCACCCCACTACCTGCCACACAACTACTATGGAATGCCGAATGGAGTCGTTCCAGGCCTTCCGCCACCTTCGTCAGGCTATCGGAGTGATTCCCGCAGTTATCCGGTAATGCCGCGAGATTATCCTCCAGACTATAGACGCAGCGACTATGAACGGCGCACGCAGACCTGAGCAGTCAGCCCTGAAATCCGACTGTTTATTGTACATAAAAAGCATAGACTTAAGCGCGGCTGGGAGAGTAAATTCCTTCCCAGCCACTCGACACAAGAAAACCAACCTGCATACAATATGTTAAGTGTAGCTCCAAACCCCTGTACAAGTAATACCTAGCAGCTAACTATATTTCTAAACATAATTTTACATCCGATCGCACAGAGGGCAAGCACTTGATCATCCAGGGTTTAGTGGCAATACTTGCAACCTAATCTAAGAATTTCTGTGTATAAATCAGGCTTTAAATCGTTCATCATTACGACAAAATATTTTTATACCATTCAATTGTACAGAAGGTGCGCTGGTCATGAATGTGTGCTGTGTGGAATGTGGCCCATGATGTAAGGACGTTTAAAAGTTTTTAAACAACAAATTCTCACTATATTTAAACACTAAAATATATTTGTAAACACAAAAGCAATGGGGGCCGTTGAAGATGCGTATCAAGGTTATGAAATATAGCAACAGACTAATCATTTGTTTTATGTCTATATTGCATTCTAACTTTTATATACCGTTTAAAAATAAAGAATCAGCGAATGATCCAGAGAATTGTAATTTAGTTAAAAATAAATATTTACTAATATTAATGATATATTAATATATAAAGTACGTTGTAGTGTCTGAGAAATCTATTAAATATATATCAATAAATTATAAAGTATATAAATTTAAATGAAGCAATAATTTGTTTTTAAATATTATTTTCTCGAAATTCTATATTAACATAACTAATAGCGAGGAAATTAAAAGCCTCAAATTTTGAAATTCCATCGTTTCATATTCCACTATAACCGTTCGACGCTATCTTGGCTTGAAGCTGAAATCCACTTCAGCTGTTCAAAAACATTTCGAGTCACATTTAATTATTAAAATAATGGATAATGAACACGGATCCGAACTGGGTACCCAGGAATATTGGGAGTCTAGCTATAATCGCGAGATTCGGAACTACAAGAGCCACGGAGATGTAGGCGAAATCTGGTTTGACGAGGACTCACAGCAGCGTGTAATTGACTGGCTGCTGAAGCAGGAAGAGATCTGCAAGCAGACAACAGTCCTAGACGTGGGATGCGGCAACGGAATGTTTCTTGTGGGCTTAGCCAATGAAGGGTTTAGTCAGTTGACCGGGGTAGACTACTCGCCCAAAGCCGTAGAGTTGGCCCAGAATATTGCGCAGGACAACAACCTGAGCATAACCTACAAGGTCGCGGACTTGACTCAGCTGCAGAACGAGCTGGGGACATTCGATGTGGTGCACGACAAGGGCACCTTCGATGCCATCAGTCTATGCCCGGATAATCCCAAGGAGAAACGCGCTCTATACCTGACCACGGTTGAGAAGCTGTTACGAACTGCCGATAGCCTTTTTATAATAACCTCCTGCAACTGGACAGAGGAGGAGTTGGCGACTAACTTTGGTGAAAAGTTTGTTAGGCATCACACCATTCCCACACCGACTTTTAAATTTGGTGGCAAGGTGGGCAATGTTGTTACCTCAGTTGTATTTAAGAAGCTTTAAATAGAGAATGTTTGAAATGTACATTATATATCTATAACCGTTATCTTTATTGTGATGGGTTGTTTCAAGAAAACAAAATAAATAGTTTTAAAAACATTTATTTAATTAAAAATCTCAATATTGACTGTCTAAAAAAATATATAAAAACCATCACAAAGTAAAATGAAGGTCATGCAGAAGGACTTAAGGAACCATTATCGACGGACAGGAGAGCCAAGTGGTACCACTTGATGAAATGGAATGGCTTGTTCCTCGGCAAAGGCAAGAAAATCCATGCCATAATGCTGGATCAGTTTTGTGAGCATGGCAACATCGGCCTCTGCCTGGTGTGCATTATTTGCGGGTCGTTGGAACTCTCTTGTGTACAGACTGCTCAAATTGTAAATTCCGCGGGGCGGATACCGCTTGGTCTCGGCACACATCAAGCCGCTGAACAGCTGGCGCCGCGATCGGAACTCTAGGGTTTTCCTCTTAGCAGGAGTCTGATTCGCATCCTCATCACCATTGCACAATTGTCTGCGTTTAAGAGAAGCAATCTCGGGTGTCAAAATAGGACGTTTTGGAGTGGTTTCATTTCTGGCTCGCCAGTCGATTTCCTTGGCCAATTCTGGCTCCTTAAAGGTGGTTTCGGATTCTTTGATCTGTTCAAGTTCTGTTAAAACTTCAGTGCCTTTTAAAGTAACTGGAACTTCCAAAAGACTTGTTATTTTATTGCGGTTCTCATCGATCTCCAAGAAGGCGCGTAGGGAGTCTACACAAGTCATGGATTGAGGGAGTTCCATGTTGAGTTTTTCAAATACCTGCCTAAGAATGGGAAAATCGAATCCCCAGCCATTGTGAGCCACTAAGCACACCGGGGATGGCAAGTGCTTAAGGAAGCTGATGATGAGTTGGCCGGCATCTGCATCCAGCTTGGACTCCCGCTCTAGAAGATAGTTGCTCAGACCTATTACGTGATGAAATATCTTGGTAAATTTCTCATTACATTTTATAGCGTACCTGTGCAGTTCTCAGCATCCGGATGCACCATCATAGACGGTTGGAACAGTAGATTCAACTTGTGCAGAACGCGCGGTTGCGCTGGCACCTCTTGTTGAACATGCTCTTCTTTCTGGGACTCCGTTTTCCGGAGGATTGCGGCTTCAAAGGCGTAAATGCACAACTCTGTAATTCCCACCCGATTATTATTGAAGGCAGGCAAGTTAGTCGTCTCCAGGTCCAGCACGGCGAATGTGGATATCTTTGACAGATCCTCGGACTTTTCCAAAATACCTTCGTGTGGATCCATTACAAAATAAAACTGATAACCGACGTTAGCTATATGTACACATCTGTATATATTAATTTTGTTTTATTTAAAATGCATTTGAGTTTAACAATTTCTTGACATTTTCCAACCCTAATTTATAATTTGGGCTTTGGAGATGGCAACGTGACTCAACATTAATGTACTGTTGTATTCATTTTTCTTACTAACATAATAAGTATAATTAAACGAATAAATTAAATGCAATTTAGTATATTCTTTTTGAAATTCTAAAACTCGAATTTTGTATTACAATTTTTTATAAAAGTGCATCTTAAATATTTCTAGTAGGCGTATTCTTAAACACTTGATTTGAATGAACAAGTGCACTGCCGTGTCACGCAGAGTAGGCCAGGACAATCTGTCAAACTCTATTAGGAAAAGCTAGATTTAAACCCTCACTTCGGCAGAGAACGTTAAGCAGGTTACAACTTCATCAAATTATTTGAGTGAGTATAAATTATTCGAATATGGAACGCAGCTACAGGCAGAAGAGGGAATGGCTGAAAAACAATGGTGCCAGCAATGGTAATAGTAATAACGCTGGCAAAAATGGAGACAATCGGCGGTATACCGCCTACTCCGACCAATCGGGTCGAAATCTGGGGGGATGGGCCTCCTCCTCCTGGTCGAGCTCTAACATTACCAACTTCTTGCCTTCATCACCCTCTGACTACGCCTCTGCTGATCCTGCCCCGCAGGTCGCTTCCATTTGGAGCAGAAAAAGAACTAACTGGGACAACAACCAAGATCTAACAGAACGAATTACGAATATGAACAACCAATCGTGGTCTGGCAATCGCGGGTCTGCCAACTTAGACCAGTGGAGGGGTCCGAAATTGCAGCCCATACTGACGATGGCTGAAGAAAATGGACTGCCGAACAGTGTTGCCGTTTTATCCTTTTTCCGGACAGATCTGTCCGGTTTTTAACTGCGTCAGCCGGAAAAAATTTAAAACATCCCCTAGCCTTTTATCTGTCCTTTTTTTTTATTTTGACCTAGCCTTTTTTATCCGCTTTTTATTTTTGTGTAAAGTGCTGAAAAGTAATCAAAATGTACATTACTTTTATAAGTGCAGTGCAGTGGTGCAGTGTATGTGTCGTGACCAAAAAGACAATGAAAAAGATACTCAAATACTGCAAATGCAGTATAAACCGAAAATTGACCAGATCCGTGTACATATGGTGACGAAAACACATACAAAATACAATACATCCAGGCAAATAAAATTAAATTAATTTTAAGCCGATAGCAACAAATCATTGTGTAGACAAGAAGCGGCACTGGCTATGTTTGTTGCACAGCATGCTCCACAAATCCAGTTGGCCACCTCAGCAAATTTTTAATAGATTAATTACAGATTATCAAACAATGTCTTCGTTTTTTATACTAATTATATACTAAAATGTAAAATGTGTTTGCCGAAGAGTATATAGATATTATGTTATATAGTAAATTAATTTTCAGTTAATATATTTTTGCCATGAATATGAAATTCCGAGAAATATTCAAAAATGATTGGAAGCAACCAATCTACAATAAATCAAAGTTTAGAAGTTTGCAATGATGACATTGACGATGTTCTAAACGATTTGGCAACCAATAAAGAGTGATATTACATAAAATGTATGGAAAAAATATTTTGTCTTGTTTTTTGTCCTTTTTTTTAAATTTTTGTCATTTTCTATCCTTTTTTTATAATCAATCTAGCCTTTTTCTATAACGAGCCGACGGCAACACTGCTGCCGAATCGCATTCGCGGAGATTTCCTTGGTCTTAGCGGTGCAAAGCGCAAATTGTTTTATCGCTACCGTGAAATGGGATGCTCTGATGAAGAGGCTCTTGCCAAGACCTTGGAAAATAGCATGGATTCTGTAAATTTTACAGGTGGCGCACGCAAGTGGTACGACAAGTATGTTGCCAGCGGTTGTACCAAGGAAGAGGCTATAGCCAATATGCTGCAGTACAAGAAAAATCTTGCTATCAAGCGGGCGGCGTTGGCTGCCGGTAACCGCGGTCGCAAGCGTCCGATTGATAACAGCTCCCTTGGTGGCAGGTCCAAAGAGGAACCCAAGACACGGAGGATGCGGACAGAACGGCCGCCGAAGACCTCGGCCGTCAAGAATAAAGGCTTTTCTATGGCCATCGTGTCTGATAATTATCCCATATCCATATTGAGTAAGAAGGAATTGGTTAAAGTCGAGTCCGGACTCGTAGAGGAAATGAAGAAGGGTTGGAAGACCAGTATCAACTTCGGAGGCATCCGATTCCTTCCCGGACTGATTTCGGTTATCTGCTTGGACTATAACTCCAGGCAGTGGCTTGAGGAGGTGGTTCCGAAGATGTCGATAATACCCGGGATTAAACTGATGGCCTGTCCCGAGAATGAGATTTCCGCAGCCAAGGTTATTACTATCCTTGTTCCGCGCTGTGCCGATGAGACAGATAATGTTACAATAGATTTATTGAAAGATCAGAATACAGATCTCCTGTCGAAAACTTGGAAATTCGGCCGCATTATAAAGTCCAGGGATGGGAAAATTGTGTCCATCAGCATTGGCGAAAAATCCTTAGAACTGTTGAAAAAGAAAGGCGGTACCGTCAGTTACCGCTTTTAATCAGCTTCCGTATCGCATAGTGAATGGGAAAGGCGCCCTAATGACGATTCGCGAAAACGAGCTGGATACACCAAAGAAAAAAATAGCCGAGTCAACTGAAATTGACTTAACTGAGGAAGATGGAGAAGAATATATTTCTAGCCTTGAACTGACCATTGTTGATGAAGTAAAGGGAGACGATGACGAGGAGATTGAGATGTTTGAAGTTAAAAGCGAAGTAGAGATTGCTGAAAAGAATAACGATAATGAAGAAGAAGAAGCTAAAGAGATGATAACTGAAAAGGAGATAACAGAAGAGGAGATAGCACAAGAGGAGATAGTCGAAGAATCACAAGGCGCTGATGAAAGTGCCGAGGATGAGCATCAGCAGAAGGAAGACAAAATTGTTGAAAATGAAGAGACAACCAATACCGAATAAGCTGCTTCCAACGTATACAGCATTGGTGGAAGCCTTGGCTAAAAGGCAATATATAGGTATGAAAATTCAAATGTTCGCTAAATACTAGAATAACTTATAATATTCCTTTTCAGAAACAAATGATGAGCAGCAACATGTGAAACACATTCCAAATATACTAGACAATTTACAAGCCAGAGGCTCGTAGTATATACATATGTATACTTATTACCTTTTACGGCAGTATCAGGACATATGGCCCTACTATGTTATTTTTACATTATACACATCACAAAAGAAATCATGTTATGTGAAATCATTTCTAATTAAAAATATGGGTTTTGGACATTAAACTTATTTTTATGTGGGTATATGTTTGGTGTAAACAGAAATTATATGGATTTTAAATGGGAATATATTGGTAGTATCGGGAAGTTCAAAATATGATTTATAATTAAAAAGTTTGATTAGAAATTCTGCATTGTTTATTAGCAACAATCAACATAAAAACGTTAAATCACGATAAATACGCAACAGGATTTACATATATGTGACTTTTACAATATGCTTATTAATACTTGAGGATTTCGAATCCCCACGTCTTCAGAGAAAAATTTTTGACAATACATTCGAAAAAATGCATGGCACGCGAAACATCTGGCAATAGCGAGCTACATTCCAGCGTTGGTCGCAGTTCTTCCATCCTCCGATTTGGAGTCAGCTGCTCCTCGTTTTACTGAAAATTGCATGTAATCCTCACGTGTGGCTGCTGCATACTCTTGCACTAGGCAGTCCACCGTTTCACGCGATTCGTCCAGTTCTGAGAGGTCGTCCTTAAAAATGTCTTCGCGTCGGAACTGATCAAGAAAGGCGCCGCGCTTGCGGAGCTTGTCGTATTGGTTGAGGGATCGTTCGAAAAGCGAGCAGATGCTGGTGTGGTTAGCCAGCATTAGGCCGGTCACTCGATGGTTGCTCTGTACGTAGGGCGAAGATCGGGAGAGCGCTACCTGAATGGAGGTTGGGCCCCACGGAATGAACTGGGCCATCTTGCGATCACGGATACGTTGTAGCGACTTGTGCACCTGTGTGGGATCAACCTCGCCCTGTATGATGTTCAATATGGATATATAGCAGTGGTGGTTGGATTTATCGGGTCCTGTGGAGACCATCATATTTTTGGGCTGCAAGAGACGACGCATTACATCCAAGACGGTAGTTTTACGCACATTAACCGTTTGCTGGCAATTGATATCCGATTCGCTGGTTAGCGGAGTGTAGCCGGTCATGAGAAAATGCAGTTGAGGCGTCGGTATTAGAGGAGCCATTAGCCCGATGAGATTATTGTTCATGTAAGAGGGATACCTCAGAGTGGTGGTGCTCACGCTCATTATGGTGGAGACCAAGTTGTTAATCTGAGAAAAACTCGGGTTCTGGATATGTAAGCGATCACAGGCAATACGGTTGAGAGCCGTGTTGTCTAGGACAACCACACTATCCGCAGCTGTGGTCAGACGTTTGAGAGTGAGCATAGAGTTGTAGGGCTGCACCACAACGTCGCTGATTTCGTCCTGGTTTGGAAACACACTGAATGTTTGGATAAGTTTTTTCGGATAGCGGTCCGCCAGGCGCTCCATTATGAATGAGCCCATTCCCGATCCCGTTCCTCCAGCAATGGAGTGGCAGAGTATAAATCCTTCCATGGAATCGCTTCCATCCGCTTCGCGATCGATGATATCGAATACCTCCTCCTGCAGTTTGTCGCCCTGACTATAGCCGGAGGCCCAGTTGTTGCCAGCGCCACCTCCATGCTTTGATAGATATACATTCTCCGGATTGTAAAGCTGCGGGAAACAAGACTGCTGTCAGCTTTAAATGTAAAAAACATATTACAGCGGCGAACCTTAGAATAAGCGGAGCCCATTATGGTATTAATCACCCTTGGCTCTAAGTCCAAAAGAACAGCGCGAGGTATATAATGGTCATCATCCGCCTGGTAAAAGAACACATCCTTGCGGTCCATACCATCGTGGGCAAAGTCCTCCAGCACGCCGTTGGGGGAGATGCCATGCTCCAGACACAATCTCTTCCAGAACTCAAATCCAACTATAATTAAATAATTTTATGAAATATTAATAATGGCTCGTCCTTGTTTTTTAAACATACTTTGATTTCCGCATTGTCCCAGCTGCAGGGTAATTATTTCACTTGGCATAGTGGAGCGTTGTTGTCCGCCAGAAACGTCAGTTTGTGTTTAGTGTTAAATGGGTAATTAGGAGAAATATATAAACTAATAAACTATCCAGATTGTGGCAACAATTTAAAAAAAAAAGCCACAGCGGGGCGGGGATGTATTTTTGGTTTTGTCTTTATTGATATCGATATCAGGGTGCGTTATTTGCATGGGCATAGTGTCTTTCTGCGATTGTCCCAATAACTCTACCTGAAATCGATTTCTAAATAATACATTTTATAAAAACGAAAATATTTTTTATTTGGACCTATTAAAAATGATAAATATTAAATAAAAGAAAACCCAATTTAATACAAATTTGAATATGGCTATTTGTGCGATATTTTTCAATAAGTAATATTTCAAATGGAATATATATTTACATTTTTTATGATTTGTTATTCAAGCTAACTGTAAAATTATAAATTAATAAATCAGCAGATTAAATTTACTAAAAAAATTCTAGTATCTGTGATGTCACGAGCAAAAATTTAAATCACATCTGTGTTTCTAGAGATGAAACAAAAACAGTGTTGTCCCACAGTCGACCGGCTTGAATAAATCGCATTGCCCGCGCAGTTTTCTTTTTGTTGATATCGGGAGCAGACCAAGCGGCAGTGGCGGTGCGAAACACAACGAGAGAAATCTGGAATATCTGGAAATATATAAATTTTACAGTAAATAATTAATTTTTTTGAACCTAATTGCACAACTGCACAATGCCCCGTGCTAAGGCCGTAAAAAAAGAAACAGTGGCGATTGTAGTTGAACCTTCTGACACCACTCCAAATGGCAATGAAAGCGCCGCTGACGAAAACCCCGCTGCAAACTCTGCCTCTGTGGCCGAAGGAGCCAAAGTTCCGTCGAGAGGAAAGCCCCGCGTGAAAAAAGCCATCAAGACCACTATAGCTGTGGAAAACTCCGGGGAAATTGAGGCGGAAGAGGCCACTGCAGCTGCACGTGGGAAGAAGAAGAAGCAGCCGAAGGATACAGAAGAAAACGGCGAGAGCAAGGTGGTGGCTAAGCCAAAAGGACGCGCCAAGAAGGCGGCTGCAGAAGCCGATCAACCGTCTGTAAAGGCATCCAAGCCTCGGGCCAAAAAGGAGCTCACTCCTGCGTCAGAGGAAGAGGCCCAGGCACCCCGCAAAGGACGCAACAGGATCGATAATGCGGCGGCTATCCAGGAACCAAAGGCCAGAGCACGAAAGCGAAAGGAGATGTCGGCAGAAGCCAATAATGTGTTAGAAGAAGCGGCGGAGCCACCAAAACGGCGCGTGAAAAAAGATGCAGTACCAGAAGAACTAGAGCCGGCACCCAAGACGAAGGCTCATAAAGGTGAGACAACTGCTAAGCGGGCCCGCGGAACCAAGCGACTTGCGGATTCGGAGATTGCCGCCGCTCTTGAGGAAGCTGACGTGAATGAAGAGCCTCCAAGGGCTGCAAGCAAGCTATCCAAGAAAGAAAAAACGGTAGAGGTGACATCCGAGACTGTGGGAGATTCCGAAATAGTAAAAGAAGTGGAGGAAAAGAAGCCAAAGGCAGCAGTAAGAAAACGAACCCAAAAATCCAAAGGAGAAGAACCTGCAGAAGACAATGAAACGAAGGTCGATGCCAAGTCAAACAAGCAGCGCCCCAAGAAAGAGGTCAAGGAAGACTTGAAGGGTCCTATGAGAAAGCGTGGCAGGGCGGCATCAGCCGATAAGGAAAACGGACTGACTAAAGAATCTGAACCTTCGACTGAAACCAAAGCAGGTGAGAAACCCTTTAAGAGAATATGTAAGTTTAAAAGAATTTAATAAAAAAAATTTTCATCATCAGCTCGAGGTCGGAAAGGGGTTACCGTAAAGACGGATGATGTTGAGAAGGAAGAAACTAAGCCAGGTGGGCAAAAATTTGAAAAATGTTGATATCTAACTAAAATATTAAAAAATTTATTCACAGTTCGTAGTCGAAAAAAAGCAATCAAGGCTAACGTTCCGATAAATGATGCTGAGGAGGCTACCTCGAAAAGTATGTTGGCGGAGCAATCCGGCTGCGGTGGAGCTGCCTTATTTAAAAGCTTGCAAAACATGCTTAATTTTTGTTTTCCAGCAACAAAGACAGCCAAGAAGGCCGATGTCAAACCTATAGTAAAGTTAGATAAAAACGCATTCGCCTTACCAGCCGAAAAAGTATTTAACTTGAAAATCTGCAGCTGGAATGTGGCCGGTCTGAGGGCATGGTTAAAAAAGGATGGTCTTCAGTTGGTTGACCTCGAGGAACCCGACATTTTTTGCCTGCAGGTATGTCTAATATATTCCATAAAAATTAAACGTTTAATGGAACCTCAATTAAAGGAAACCAAATGTGCGAACGATCAGCTTCCGGAGGAGGTGACCCGACTGCCGGGATATCATCCATACTGGCTGTGCATGCCAGGTGGCTACGCCGGCGTCGCCATTTACAGTAAGATTATGCCTATAAACGTGGAATACGGAATTGGTAATGAGGAGTTCGATGATGTCGGTCGCATGATTACGGCAGAGTACGAGAAGTTTTACTTGATCAATGTGTACGTGCCGAACTCGGGTCGAAAGCTAGTTAACCTGGAACCGCGAATGCGCTGGGAGAAGCTTTTCCAGGATTATGTGCAGAAACTAGACGTTTTGAAGCCGGTGGTTATATGCGGCGATATGAATGTGTCCCATATGCCCATTGATCTGGAAAACCCGAAGAACAACACGAAGAATGCCGGCTTCACCCAGGAGGAGCGTGATAAAATGACAGAGCTGCTAGGGCTCGGTTTTGTGGATACCTTTAGACATCTTTACCCCGATCGGAAAGGTGCGTACACCTTCTGGACTTACATGGCTAATGCACGGGCTCGAAATGTGGGCTGGCGTCTCGACTATTGTTTAATCTCGGAGAGATTTTTACCAAAGTTAGTAGAGCACGAGATTCGCTCGCAATGCACTGGAAGCGACCACTGTCCTATTACTATATTCTTCAATTTTTAGACGTACACTATATGTTTTTGTTCGTGTACTTTATTCTTCATAATTATTCTGTTTTCCGTAACATTTGATTTTTACTATATTTATTCATCCACTATTGTACAATTTGTACGATACGATATAAATTACTATTACATTCTGTTGTAGATCGACCATCCGAAATGGTATTTTTGAATAAAGTAAGTTACTCAAGAATTTGTCTAAAAAATTAACAGGCGGGATTTAAAAATCCGTAGATGCAACGGAAAAATATCGATACATAGTATCGATTGAGCTTGTCCTGCCAACCCGGTTGGAAGCACTACCTTGGCCTATCGAACATAAGAATCATACAGTCCCGCCAAATTTTTAGAGCGTTCTTAAGTTTTTGCCAACAATTTAAATTTGTAACATGGTTATACCGCCAACAAAGGAACAGGATGGAGGCCTGGAGAAGGAGCTGTCGGAGCAGCAGGCGCCGGCCAACCGAGATGAAGAGCAGTATCTCGATCTTCTGAGACACATAATCACTAATGGTGAACAGAGGATGGATCGCACGAAAGTGGGCACGCTGTCTGTATTTGGCAGTCAGATGCGTTTCAACATGAGGGAGTCTTTTCCCCTATTAACCACAAAGCGCGTCTTCTTCCGCGCTGTGGCCGAGGAGCTACTCTGGTTTGTGGCGGGCAAGACAGACGCCAAGCTGCTGCAGGCGAAGAACGTGCATATCTGGGATGGGAACAGCACCAGGGAGTTCTTGGACAAGCTGGGTCACACAGAGCGAGCCGTTGGCGACTTGGGTCCGGTGTACGGATTCCAGTGGCGGCACTTTGGTGCGGAGTACGGGAGCTGCGAAGACGATTATGCCGGCAAGGGCATCGACCAATTGCGTCAAGTGATCGACACCATTAAGAATAACCCTTCGGACAGGCGTATCATTATGTCAGCGTGGAATCCATTGGACATTCCAAAGATGGCTCTTCCGCCGTGCCACTGCCTGGCGCAGTTCTACGTCTCACAGACCCGAAATGAGCTTTCGTGCCAGCTCTACCAAAGGAGCGCCGACATGGGCTTGGGCGTGCCCTTCAACATCGCCTCCTACGCCCTCCTTACCTACATGATCGCCCATGTGACGGGTCTGAAGCCGGGCGACTTTGTGCACACCATGGGCGACACACACGTCTATCTGAACCATGTAGAGCCCCTTAAGGAGCAGCTGGAACGTACACCACGACCCTTTCCCAAGATGGTGATTAAGCGCCAGGTAAAGGACATCGAAGATTTTCGCTTCGAGGACTTCGAGGTAGTCGATTACAATCCATATCCCAAGATCAAGATGGACATGGCCGTGTAAAAGGGCTTTTCATATTAATAATTGATCTGTTAAAACTAATATTTTTATTTATAAATGATTATAAAGGATTAAAAAGTAAAACTCAAATTCAAAAGATGTTTATGTTCTTCAGCTTGCTTTCTAATAACTTTTTATTGAAAGCCTTCTGTTCTTTTCTTGCTTCTCGTTTGTGATTTTTTTTAAATGTTCTCAAATTTTGTGATGTTTATTGGGCCTGAAAAGGAAAGGCAGCTGTTGTGCTTCAAAATTCGTACAATTAATGGTTGTTTCAGTGGTGATCTCTATCCATCATGTTCAACTGATCTTCGCGGCGTTAATTACATTTATTTGTTGGCCTGGTGAAATATAGAAACTAAATTTTTTGCTGGTCTGGCAATATTTGACATTTAAAAATAGAAAATGAAGTCGAATATCGGAAAAAAACATTATTTTTTAAACACATCATTTCATAGCTTTATTTGAATAAATTGTTGCTTTCATTCATCGTGTGTAGTGTGTGTTTGTTGTTTGTAAATTCTCAGAGTAATCCATAATGAAGTATAATTGATTCTTAATAAATCTTGCACAGAGTATACCGTAAATATGCTATATAAATTTGCTTGACATTTTTCGCACTTAATATTGTGATTTTGTTAGGTTTCGGTTTCTTGGTTTTTTGTCATTTAAGTAATTTAATGTAAATTTGAAGGAAAACTTGAAGGTTTTGTGTCCATATGAGAGAAATCGACAGTAATTTAATATACAATTTATGCACTTTAATTAAATTGGAATAATTGTTTTAAGTTTTTTGTTTTTGTGATGATTAAAGATAAATACATATTTGCTACTACAATACGATACTTTCCACCAATATTTTGACTATGTTCTTTTTTTAACGACGAGAAAAAAACTTGCACAGTTTTCCATACATACATATACATATATAATAGTGCATAGTGCATATGCAAGCTAACCGATAGACAAAGACAAATACAAATTAGTTCGAATAATTATAATCTTTTATGTGGAATTCAATATGTTCATTAACTTATGTTGAGCTTGAAAGAGCGAATGCCACTAGAGTTTCTGAGTTCTGAGTTCAGTTAAGATTCAATATTTTTGTTTCGATTTTGGCTAAAGTGATTCCTTCATCCGTTGCCTTTGACTTGCGTTTAACAATAGTGCTTAAAATTAGTACCTTTGACTAAGTTCGTTTCGACTAAGATTTGGTTTTAATTAATTTATAATATATTTTAAGTGTTTTCTTTTCTTACTTGAACATTTAAACATATATAAAGAGCGTGTTTCCGTCCGCAACATACTGATGACTTGCACTACAAAATGTTATTCGTTTTCTTGTAATATTATCGATAGCCGCACGACAGCGGGCCGTGTCTTGTTAGAGGATGCTACAGCCGAAACAAAGATCTGGGCCAGGAGAGTATTTCGATAGGGGTTAAAATGAAGTATAAAGTTAGTGCCTGCTTAGATAAGGTTCATTGCGGGCGGCAATTACCAATGGAATTTCAACATATCTTGGGACTCCAGTTCTTTGCATTTAGCTACATACACCTAAAAGCCATCAATTACACTTCTCAGATAGACTGCAACTGCTAGACTTTTGTTTCATTTTCACACGAGTGGATCGTAGTAATTCTTGGATTCTTTGCTATTTAACATTCATTTAAGTGAGACTAGTAAGAGAGTGTGTCTGTGTGGGGTGTGTGTGTGATCTGTGTGAGAGAAACAGACATTTTAAGCCGATTGTAAGCGATGAAACGGATGTGCATGTCATCGATGCTCCATCGCTTACAAACAGCCTAAAGAGGGCGCTCTGCAGACTTCCGGTTCCGGTTGCGTCTGCAGGCATTTGCACAACCTTATTGGCTTCAAAACGCGAAGGTGCCTCGAGAAACGATTTTGCACAGTGAAATCGATCGCCATTTATACATACGTCTTTGGTTTTTGCTTTTGTTTCGTTTGTTTTGGTGTAAAAGTATAAAAGTGTGCCGTAATTAAGCCTTTCACTTGGTAGTTAAAATTTGTGGTAACTTGTCGATTTTCTTGTGTCTTCGATTTCGTTCCGTTGCGTGAGATCCCTCCTTAACACGAGTACTCTTCCTTTGTTTTTAAGATATGCGCTTTGTTTTCGTCTTCTTTAAATGTTAACATTATTGCGTTTTCCATGTAAAAATTATAAATTTGCTGGTTTTATAGTTTTTTCGATTCGTTAGTCTTTTCTGCATTTAGTTCAACTTTCTGGTATTCGTTTCTTTTCTTTTTTGTTTTGTTTTTTTTTACGTATGTTTCTCCTCTCTTGACGTGACATTCCCTTTCTTCGATTCCGTTTTGTTTTGTATATTATTGTGCGGTGTTTTTGTTCGTTACCATAAGTATTTAATATGTATATATAATATAATATATTGTATATAGTACTCATGTATATATTTAAATTTTTAAAATACTTTCTTGGTTTTCTTCCTTTTGTATTTATCATTTATAAAACATTTCATCTTAAAAAATGTATATAATCGATTGCTTTTTGTTGTTGTTCATGCTTTCATTCACTTATACGCGTACGCTTGGATATCATGCCTATGCATGTCTATTCATGTCTGCTATTTCACTGCGACACGCATTGCACCAAAAATTGTGCCTCAATTTTTTACATCTTGTATAAAAAACATTACATTTGGTGTTCTCTTTATATTTTTTATGTTGAGTTTCCTTGAACTTGCTTTGAGACTTGCTGGAAGGTATTATTTCTAATTTACCGCTTAAAAGCCAGAATTTCTATTATATTTTCAGTCAAGCTTTTGCGCATGAGTGTGAGTAATGAGGGGCTCTTTTTGGGGGGTTTTCTTGGATTTTCCACTATATTTAAGAGGAGTAGGGGAGAAAAAGCCGTTGAGCTCTACAAATACTGGAGGCTTGGCGTTCCGGTTTCTCTATGCACTACACACATACATACCTAATAATCGCAACCGTTGCCGTTGCCATAACGATATATGTTATTATATATATATATTTGTATATATAATTTGTTCATGGTAATTAGTTTTAAATTGTATGCAATAAATTTACTTGACGTATACATGAAAATGGATTTCTGTTTTGTTAATGTTAATGCATGCCATGAATTAGTATTTATAATAATTTCCTTGGTATGTATGTATAAACATTTAAAATTTGCAATACACAACATCAATATATTGTTAATCATATGTAATAGTTTTCGTAAATAGGTATAGATTTTATAGAGAGATATAGCATAGTTAATGTGTTGAGTAACATTTCGATTTTTCCATTTTGGGTTCATGGCACGTAAAAAATAAAATCTCGACAATAAAGAACGAAATAATAGTTTAGTTAAATAATTAAATAAATGTTGTTTCCATCTTAAGGATTTTTTTTCGTTTAGTTTTTTAAAGGAATTCATTGAAGCACCATCTATATAATTTTTTATTTTGTCATTGCCAGGCTCTCGAAAAACTTGCATCATTCTATCAACTTTTCATTTCATGTCCGTTTCGTGTTTTAAAATTTGCTATATTTAGTTTGGCAATTTGTTTAATTTGTTCATTTACTTTACGTTATTGCTGTTGAGTTGGGCTTAAACAAATTCGTTAGGCTGAAACGCGTTTTGTCATCTAGGTTACGTACATCTCGCTTGGTTTTCTTTCGTTTTTCTCGCTTTTTTGTCTAGGGAGGGACTTTGTTCTGATCTTTGTCTTTAGTTACATTAACTTCTATTGGAGAGGCGTACTTAGATTACTTAGCTGGCTTTTGTTTAAGCTTTACAATCTTTGATTATTTGTTTTTATTCTCTCTCTTTCTCTGATTCGACAATTATTATAACTCCATTTGCTGTTTTCAAATTTTCTTAAATATTTATTCGTTGTATTTGAAGAAATTCTCATGGGTGCCATTTTCTGTAAGTTTTTTGCTTTCGCTCGCTTGTTAACCCAACTTTACGTTAATGCCACTATTATGATTGAGAGAGTGTATATTTAAGATTCATACCAAAGGACAAAGATTTACTGGGCAATTGAACAAATGAGGTTAATGGAGAATAAAAGGTTTAATAGTAATATTATGCATACATCATTTATTTTTAGCAAAAGTTATACATTTAATTTATAAAACATAAACACACGTATGTCTTGCTTTTTTTGGTATTCCGCATCTAGCTTTCCTTCTCATTCTGCATTGTCTATTTGCAAAGTGGTTTGACTATAAGCCAAACGCTTCTATCTGTTTACGCATTCAGTTCTGTTTTCGTATCTCATTTTATACATTTATTTATAGCTTAAATATTTGTCAAGTTTGTTTTCATTCTTTGGTGGATTGGGGCTCTATGCCTGCAAATTGTATTTTTATTCTCTGTTTAAAAATATCCGTAGAGTATGCTTTCTTCTACATCTCAAACAAAAACTTAACTACAGCTTTTCCTTCTCTGTTTCTTCTTCTTTTTTCTATTCTCTCTGGAAGCTATTATCTTTTAGGAGAGTCGACTAGACGTTTTTAAAGTGCATCAACGAAAAATGTAAGTAATACAAATTGAGTCTAATCTAAGATGAATAAATAATATATACGAAAAAGCAAAAACTTGTTTTCAAAACATATTTAACGAAAAAAAAACCATATTTGAAGTTATGGTTACTCTTACTTCACTGACTAACCAAATTCTAAACCAAAAAATTAACAAGTCCGTTATTTTGCATTCTTCTAACTTATTGAAATTAAACAAAACTGAGTAGGCAATGCCCAATACTACTAAGAATCCATGAAGTAGGCTGATGACAAACCTAAGTAGACTCTAAAAGAACCAATTAGACCAGGTTGGCACATAGCCATTGCTGCTGTTACTGTTTTTGTTGCCCGAACCACCGCCGGATGAGTTGGTCGACATTCCCATTCCCATGCCAATGGTTCCACCTCCATTGCGCTGGCTTGCCGAGTTGGCCGAGGTGTTGTTGGGTGGAGCGGCGGCGCTATTGGCCACATTGGTCAAGAACTGGGCGAACTCCTGCTGCAACTGCAGCTGCTGCTGCAGCAATTCGTAATGATTCTGGGGCTTATTATAAATGAATTTTGTTGATGTCTTCAGGATGTTGCTCGACGAAGACGAGGAAGATGCGGCGTTGATATTGGCTCCGGCATCGCCACTTGAAACTGAGTGGTTGCTGCTACTGCTGTTGGTGACAGATGCGGCGAGATCTCCCGTCGTTGCTGCAGAGCCGCTTGGTAATCTCTTAGGTGGCGCCATTGATTGTTGCTTGTTGCTCGAGGATGCTTGCTTCTGTTTGCTCGTAATGCTAATGTTACTGCTGATGTTGTGCTGCCTGTTGTTGTTGTTGTTGTTATTGTGGTTAACGTATTTGCCAAGTTGATAGGCTGCTGCGTTGCAACCGTTGCTGTTGTTGTTATTATTGTTAATGCTACCGATATTGCTGTGGTGGTGATGATTGTGGAGGACTAGACCATTGGCCGCCAAAGCTGCCGCCGCCGCATTGGCATTGACAACAGCAGCCAACTTGGTTAATAATTACGTTTGCTTGTTCTTGTTGGTCTTGAAGCTGACCTGAAGCACTCGGTTGCCAAGTGTGTAGCCGTTCAGGGACTGAATGGCCAACACCGCCTCTTCGTAGTTCGTCATGGTGACAAAGCCAAAGCCCTTGCACTTGTTGCTCTGAAGATCGCGAATCACCTAGAGGAATTCCAAAAAACAATTAGTAGGCTGACTATTTGACCTATTTAGGTTTAAAAAAAAAAGCAGGATAAGGAGTTCTACATCTGTCATGTTAAACTATAGCTATTTCAATTAAATTCTGCTTAGAATCGGAACTCACCTTGACTGACTGTACGGCTCCAAAGGGACCAAACAGCTGCCACAGCACATTCTCCTCGGTCTCGGGCGCTAGATTGTAGACGAAAATGCACCAGCCGGAGCTAGCGATGGTGTTGCCTTGAATCATGCCATTAGTGATCAGGTCACTGGTTAACGGTGAGTAGCGCGAGATTACAGAGCTGCAGGGTAATGCAAATTAAGATAAGTACAATGAATATGGATAATAACTACATTACTTAATTATTTTATTCTAGATAATAATTCCTTACCTGTAACGGCCCGCGTTGGGGTGAATGGCAGCTGCAGCGGCGGCCGCTGCCGCTCCGGCAGCAGCATTGGCCGGAAATGCTCGACCACCCCGCGTGTTCTGGGGCGCAATGTAGGCTGCCAGCGGCTGCATGCTGTTCTTATTGCTGCTAGGATTGTTGGCGAACTTGACGGTTATTGGTTCGGTGGAATTCTTCGGAGTTGTGCCGTTTAACTCTTTAATGGCCCGGTCGGCCTCAAATCGCTGATCGAAGCGTATAAAGCCAACGCCTTTGGAGAGACCTAAAACCAACGGAAAGGTCAGAATATATGGATATTCTCATTTCATGAAGGCGCTCTGTACAGCAGATGAAAAAACTTAGAATGAAAGCGAATACGAGTTTAAGCCATGCTTTTTTAATGTGGTAAATGTTAAAGAATGAACGAGAGCGTTTCCTTAGAACCCAGAAGTAAACAACATACTGAGTATCAATTTGAGTTAAAGGCGTTCTAAACATCTGGGTTCAACTGTTATTTGATAAGCGATGAACAGCAATAGTTAAACATAAGAAAAATAAAATAAAAACATACCCGGAGCATGTTCATCTTATTTCGTATTACATGTAAAAATAAAATTGTAAATAAAATTTGCATTAATTATAATTCACTAATAAGAATGGAGAATATATTGTGGAGCGCCAGCAAAAATAGAAACAAAAGTGTGCTATAGGTTAAGATTATCTTAGAAAACTTTCAGTTTGGACATGCTTTCAAAGTAGACTACAAAACTTGGAAGATTTTTATTTTAACCATCGATATCTACTATATATTCTCGCCCCTCTCCGTGATCACAACTCACCAGTGATATTATCACAAAGAATACGCGAGGTTATGATCTTGCCGTATGGACTGAACAATGATTCCAAATCCGACTGTGTCATATTTTTTGGAAGACCCGATACATAGAGATTGGCACCCTTGATGCTCTCCGAGCTGGGGCGTGCGATGGAGACCTTGATGGTTTTGTTCTGCAGCCGCAGGCCGTTCAATGCATTGATTGCCTTTTCCGCATCCTCCTGCTTAACGTAGTTGACGAATCCATAACCCAGACTTTGTCCTGTTATTAAATAATAAACATTATTTAGTTTATACTTAAAAACATATTTTTTAAAGGAGCAGGAAAAATGATTTAAAATTCTTTTTTATCTTACCTGTCACCTTGTCACGTATCAACTTGCAACTTTCCACCTCGCCGAAACTTACGAACAGCGAACGTATCTCATCCTGCGACATAGTCTGTGGCAAGTAATTCACAATCAAATTGGTCTTGGGGTCCGGTTCATTATTATTGTTGTTGTTGTTGTTTGCAGTGGCGTTGTTATTATTGTTGTTGTTATTGTTATTATTGTTGTTGTTTGCTGCACTGTTTGGAGTGGCTTGGCCACCAGTCGTATTTGCTGTGGATCCGGTTCCCGTTGCCGCAGTTGTTGCCGCAGTGGTACCTCCGTTGGTTTGAGCCTGGCTGTTTGTCACATTGTTGGCAGCAGTCGGTCCTCCCCCGGATCCGGTGGTGCTTCCAACGCCACTTGCAGCGCCCGCTCCGGATGGTTGTTGCTGCTGCTGTTGCACGGCTGTTTGACCCTCGACCATGATGCGGAAGCTGCTGCTGAAGGGATATCCTTGTTAAAAACCAATTGTATCTCTAGACTTTCGTCTAGGACAGGAGTTCGAAATGATTCTACAGATGCGGCCAAACTAATTGCACAAAACTTATGCAAACATAAATTGCAATTTTACATTTGAGCCAATAAAAAAATTGGCCTAACTGTGCTATTACTGTGACCGCAGTTATTGATTGAAAAACGAGCTACTTTACAGTTTTCTTCTTCGAAAACTTGTTCAAAATACAGAAGCAGAGATGGTGAGTTAATCAAATAAGTGGCTGTAGATATAATACTGCTGTGAAGTCTGAAAATGGATAAAAAGAATCAGTTCAAATTCCAAATCGGAAAGTATTAGTTTTCCTTACCCTATTCAGATGCACACGTCGAGCAACTGCCTGCAGTTGGATTACAAAATTCCTCTGCTAGATCTTGGCTGTTACTATAGCCTAATTAAAAGAGCAACGCCAACCTATGAGTTATGTGGTATGCCCGAAAGTTTACTGAAAAGGGAAAATAGATATAAACAAAGTTGCAATAAAAATCAATTATTTTAATTTAATTTAAATGAAATGCGGGCAAGTGAAAAGCTATCCCCCCACAGTTCGTGGAAATGGGGGAAAACCAAGAGTAAACATTTTGAATAAACCCATACAAATGTCGAGGGCTCTTTGCTTCTGTGGTTGGCAAATTTGCTGGCTGGCTTGGCAAACCGACAGACTGACTGGCTGGTAAATGCAAATAGGGCCAAAGTAGTCATGTATTGACTAGAAAATCGATTCAATTAAAATTGCTTCCCCTTAAATGGATAATTGAATTGAAGGCCTTTTTCACTTTTCAGGAAAGAAAAGGAAATTTCATTTTTCTGCAAATTTGCGTTCTACTAAAATACAAGAATAACCTGAATTTATAAGTGAAAACCATTTTGATTTGTATATTGCAAAGGTATTTATGTTTATAGCGTAAAATAACCATCTGACGTATGGCCCATGAGCCGCATTTGTTCAGCATAGCTGTTTCTTGTAAACAATAAATAAATTGGCCAAAAACAGAAAGATATTTTTAGGCCACATTCGAAGTGGCCTTTATGATTAAACGCATTTAGTAGTAGTGTGGTAATGAACGAATAAGTATGTCAGTACGCATTTCAAGCAAAACATTGCTAAAGCAGAACATTAGAAAGTTAAAATTTTCAATCTCCTCAAAGAACCACTTTATAAAATTCAGAAAAATAACCTCTGCAAGGTTAAGGAAAAAGTTATCAAGATATTTATTATTTTAATGACTTTTTCTTCTAGGAGGAGGCCGAGCTGATGGCGGGAAATTAAGAATTAAGACTGTCTGTCAAAATTGTCAGTTCGCCTGGGCAGTTTGTTGCATTCAACGCCGCAAATCGTGCGAAAAAGTTATATTTTAAAAATAAACAATCAAATGGTGGTGGAATGAGTGCGAGAAGACACAAGAGCGGAGAATTGCGCCGCTGCGTAGCCGGCAAGATTATATTTTCGAAAATATTTTTAAAGCAACAACGATCTGGCCGATCGCAGCTGATGCGCGATGCTGACGTCTTGGGTTTGAGGTTAAGTAGCTCCTTCGCAAATAGAAGAGACGGTGATCCAGGAAAATGCCAAAATATTTAATTATATTTTCGAAAATTATAATGTAAAGGGTGCCCAGCAAGTGTCCTGGTTACCTTTGATTTCTTTATAGGGAAAATCAAATAAAACTGGTTGCTGATTTGTTGGTTTTTACGCGATTACGAAACAATTTTCAGGGTATGTTTGGTTTTATATTTTTAATAATAACCGAACCAAACTGAAACCGAACGAGAAAGCGCTCCACAAAAACAAAATGCGAGACAAACGGAAAAGTTATACTCATATAAATAACCGAAGCAAATAATTTCTGGAATATTATTAAACAAATTGTGTTGATTGTGTGCCGTTTAAAAATGAAAAACCAAGCCAAACCGAAACGTGAAACAAATTCGTAATAACAATAATAATAAGGAAATAAAATCGAACGGAAAGTAGAAAAGAACGCGTTCCTGCAACTCAACAGAACAGAAATAAACTGATTTGCCGAGCGGCGTGGAAATTATTTTTATGCCCCTCCGACGAGGGCAATAGTACTGTGTGTCCAAGAATCGGGAGAACTCTGAGAGAAAAGCCGAGAGAGAGAAAGGGGGCTTCTTGGCCAGAAATCGTCGATTGCTCTTCGCCCGCTCGTGGCAAGAGAAGCCCGATGGGAATGGATCAAAACTTACACGTCTATATGGTTCCCTATGGCGAGCATATATATTAGTAAGTTGGATGCCTGAGATGGTCGGCGGAGGTAATTTATAATTGGATTTTTTGCGCAAACAAACACATTTACGTGCACAGTATTTTTATAATTGCGTTATGGTTACTTGTTAAATTTCGAATTTGACAGAGTATCTAAATGGCACCAGACGTTTTGAATGCATTTCTGGTTCCAAAGACAGCAGTTGGAGATGGCAAATGTGGGTAATGTGGGAAGTCTTGAGTGTTTTGCAAAACAGTTGTTTCAATAACTCCAGACACAGAAACCGGCTTTCTGAATTGTGTTTTATTTATTTGCGCACCATAACCTATTTTATTAAATTAGTAAAACGATACACAACACAAATAACGTTAGTCCTAGCGTTTTAGCCTTCAACTGTTATTTTCTTGACATTCTGTCGATCTAGAAAGTCCGATTCTAATAGAAATTCACCAAATAAACCTTTGGAGATTCCAGTTAAATAATTTAAATAAAATAAGTTGTAAAGTCAAGCCTGACATTATCAATAAGAATCATTAACAAATGTAGTTACCAAATTAAAATAAAAAAATCGTTTAAAGACCTCTGAAAGTCCTTCTTGATCTTAGCCAATAATTTTTCTCCAAGCCCCATCTACACTTCAACTCAGCCGCTCTTTAAATGCAAGCCCTATAATAATTGTGCGCCAACCATTAATTTTCATTCATAAATAGTTGAAAATTGTTTCCGGCTAATTGATGGATATGATGGCACATACCTATGCAGGCACACACACTGCGACGACGAAGACGTGTTCAAAGGGCAGGAACAAAACAAAAAAGTGACACACCTTGGCAAAGGATAATAGGCGAGAGTTCGACGAAGCGCTGGGCAAAAAGGAACGGGTCAGGAAAGTAACGAAACATCTAAGGACGACGGCTGAGACCGCTTGCATTTGGGTGCGGCAAAAATAAACAGGATATATAAACTCAGAGAGAAAAAGAGAGTGAGAGCCCAGGCTGCAGCGGAAGCGCAGCAGTCAGCTGAGCGCCCCACACGATATGCAATGAATGTAGAGAGCCAAAAAGAGAATGGGAGCTCTGAGAGCGAGCTTAACTGCAAGCTGGCATCAGCGTCGACGCTGACTGCGCTGCATGAGCAGGGGCTCGACAAAAGGGGATTCCGAGATCAGGGTCTCTACAAAAACAAGACTTAAAAACTATTGATCGACAAGTAAAATAGATATTATGATATTAATTTGGTAACTTATAGTCATTATTTTTTTTTAATAACTGCGAGTTATTTGTGAAAATAATATTATTTAAAGTAAAGGACTTATTTAAAAACTGTAAATCGAAAAGTGTACAATTTCTTTTAAAAGCTTCTAGTAGGGATCTATCCCCTTTGGAACGTCCGCTTATGTGCGTCGTTTTTTAGGTTAAATGGCGGCTGCAGGCAGCGAAATGAAAACTGCGATGCCGGCGCTGCACAAAAGGCAGCTGCATGGATTTCTCTGTGTAAGTGTGTGTGTAGGCGGCAAATATATATCAGAGTGTAGAGAAATTGAGATTTCGCCGACTGCGAGCCGCCCCATTGAGCCCCGTTTTACTATTCGCACACACACAGATGCAAGGCGAAAAATCGACTTTGGGTGTGGGCACTTTGCACTGTGCAACTAAAATAAAGTGCTGTAACTGTAACTATATCCGCTGCATTCTCTTTCATTTTCTTACTTTTATTCGCCGGCGCCGCAAAGTATACCACTCCAATTTTCACAACTCTGTTCGAAATAAACTTGTACTGGAAAATTTCCTTCGATGCAAATTATGTATTTTTCAAACTTAATTGAGCACGCACACATTAAGGATTTTCGAACTGATTTAGATGTATTTAAACACTACGTGCAAGTGGACACACGTATCTACATATATAGATATATGTATGTGGGCGTAGTTGCGTGAGTATGCAAGATGTGTGTATTTTGATACCGATATACAACAATTCAGAAACGACGACAATACGACGAGAATCAAAAAACACAACTTGCTGCCGTAGAGTGCAAGAACTAAATGATTAAAGTGTTCGATTGCCGCCAGGATAACTGCAGCCAGGACCCGCGACGGCGCTGCCGCGTCGCAGTCCGCGACATCAGCAGCAGCTCCTCCTCTCCTCCAATTGGCGTACAGTTGAGCACGACGTCCCAAAGAGAGTGGGTGGGCTGCGAGAGGGGAATGCACAGCATAACTGCGTAGTTTTGCACTGAAATGCACAGTGGGGAAAAAGCTTGATCTTGAAACTATTTCCAAGAAGTCTTCCAATATATTAAATGTAAAATATTTTTCAGTATTCATTATTCCTATTTCAGCCAATAAGATTTGACCTTTAGCTTTTGAAAACTTTGATTTTGATTCAAATATAAAACTTCATTTTGAATTGGCATAATAAATAAGCACTGTTTTGTAAAATGTATCATTTTGTCACGTACTATGGGGTTATTCCAGCACTGAGAGTATTGAAAGCAAAACATTAATTTTAATACCACTTTCAAAAATGTTTAAAATTTCTATTTATATTAGTAATTATTGATTTTGAAGAAGAATAATATTTTGAATATTTAAAAAATTTTAAATGCATAGCATTGTTCCACTATTTTATTTGAACCATTGTACCTAACGAAAATTAATGGAAGGAAAGAAGAAGGTAAAGTCAAAGGGACTGCAAATAATAAAAAGCTGCAGCCGCAAGTTGCGCAGGCTGCAACAGCTCCGGCAACATAACGGTACTCTTTCTCTCTCTCTCTCTCGGCTCGACACTTAGCCGATGTACCCTACATTTGCCTTCGCAAAACATAAACAAGGAAATGCAGCCGTGAACACGAAACGAATTGCGGTAGGTTCTTCATTCGGGAGAGAGCGACCACCAAAGAGAGAGAGAGAGAGAGAGCCAAGATTTCTAAGCCGGCCGCATTGCTGTTGTTGGAGCTGAGAACCATAAAGGCACCCAAACAAACACTTAAACAACAACAACCACGGCAGCTGACTGAACTGTAGGTCCAAGGGGAGGTAGTCGGAGTGGAGGAGCTGACACCGAAAGAGAGCGAGAGAGTGTAAAGCGGGAGCGTAGGACGAGCTCAACTTGACATCATCATCATTTGTGTCAAAAGACCATTGAACTCTGCGAGCGGAATGGCCATCTACACCCCATCCCCGCTGCCCAGAAGTATGCAACAATCCCTCGCTCTCGTTATTTATATGCGGTTTGTTTTGTTGCTGTTCGCACACAATAACAACCACACACACGCACGAATTCGAGGTTTGGAACCCAGTGCATCCAAAACTCTCTTTCATTGAGTCTTTTTTATATTTTGGGGAATTTATTATAATTAGAAATATCTTTTTGAAATTTGTAACATATATGTAAACATGTATAGGAAATAAAGAAATGGTATATTTCTTTATTTAAAAAATAAATGTTTCAACTTACCTTACTTGTTAAAATGTTTCAGGTTACTCCCATTTCTGGATTGCTGCGAAGATCTGAAGTGATGCCAAGGTTCTTGATTCTGACTCTTAGATCCGTTATTCATTTTTCTAGTATTGTGATATTGAGTTGGGCGTGAATACACAACAGGCGTTTTCTGGGAACTGAAATTTGCTTGCAACTGTTGATATGGAGGGAATTTTTGAAATTTTGAATTGGTAACGTCGTTAACTGTTGGAATATCCCAATGCTGGGGATTTCGAAAAGTGCTCCCAGATTTCCAATGTTTTGAATGGTCGCTGGGCTTATGTTTATAGAATGGTAACATACTCGGAACTAAAGGTGCGCTGATTGGAATGTCAAGATCCCTATTGATACTTGGTAATATGTTTACACACTTCACATGCACTTTATTGCACTTCCTTGGCGCGTCCTCTTCGATAGTATGCTCAGACACGTGGCAAATGAGACTGCGTTTTCTTTTATTATTCTTATTGACATTCTCTGTTTCTGGAACCGTTATTTGTAGGTCTGGTATTTGTGCCAACGCCTTGGACCGCTGGCGCTGGAAACGTCTGCGCTTACTGCGACTGTAGGTTGGGGATTCACCCACTTCGTTGAAAATTCGATACTGATTGGACATTAATTGATTGGCAACGTTCGCTTACGTTGAAGTGCTAAGAACGCGGTAAAGTTATTCCAAGAAACGATCTGAAGCTTGCCAGCTGCTAAATGAACCAAACACTTTTAGCTATGCTGGCAATGCTGCAAGCTAATCTTCGTGGCTTACCAACACTGGTCGTTTATTTGCTTAGAAATAGTTTAAAATTATTAAAAAATTGACTTTCTTGATTATAATCGATTTTTTGTTACCACTTCTGTTCTATTCATGAAGGGCAATTCCAAAATGAGCTATTTGAAATAGGAATTCTTTAAAAACCTACCTGGCAACACTGCTTTTTATATTTCAGTTAAAATATATATTATATATTAATATAATAATATTAAATCAAAAAATATTCACATCGCATTGAAAGTAATAAAATAAAACAATTGCAAGATATGTAAATGTTACAATTTTTGATGTTTTATTCGTTTGATTTATCAACTACTGTTACGGTAATTGCATATTAAATTGGTTGTTTCTTGTTTGTTGTTGCTTAAACTTTAATAAGTGTACTTGGTTTTAGCTGCGGCTGAATTTAATTATATTTGTACAAAATATATATTTACTTCTAGTTTTGTTAATGAACAACTTGTTGTCTTGCGTTCATTTTGGTTTTCGCCTCGCTAGCCCTGCCCTTCCAAAGTCCAGCTTAAAACTTAATTCTGTTGGTTTTGCTGTTCGATCTGTCGGTTTGCTTTGTTTCACTACAATAACGCTTAACAAAATATAATTATTAACTATTACTAGGCGCGTTTCGTTTGTTGTTGTTGTAGCTGTTGCTGTTTGTTGTTGTTGTCGGTTGCTTATTGCTGCAAGTTAATCTTGTCATTTTGAAAAAATTTAACTATAATTTCTACGTCGTTTAGTTTAATTCATCGTGTATATATATAAAAATATATATATATATATCTTTATATATACCAATATATATATATAAGTATGTATAATTAGGCATGTAATTATGTTTAATTTAATTATATGCTTGTGTGTGTCCATGTGTTTCCATCTACGTAATTTTATTATTTACAGTGTTTTAATAATTAACAATACATATGTATGTATGTGTATCAATTTATAATAATTACACTTAGTTGCACTGCACTGCCATCTGCATTCTTTAGTGGTAACTTAAAATTTGTCTATAATTTAAATGTTTTTCGGTTTCATTTGTTGAATTCGAATGCCTTGTTTCCCCAGAACCATTATTAATAATAATTTAATATTCTTTTTATTTTGGTTTCCATTCCATTTTGTTTTTCGTTTCATTTTCGCTTTGATTTTCGTAGTTTTCGTTTTCGTATATGCCAAAAAAAGAGTCAACAAGATTTTGCTGCCTGCTTAACGATCCATCGATCTTTCCAATATATTCCATATATCTGGGTAAGTACCTTCCTATCCCCATCGTAATCCAAAACCCTCTTATTGAAATCGGCTTAAAGTAGTTTACAGCATTCACTTTTTTGGCATTTAAAAATATATTTCTTGTATATCGGCGGCTATATGTACAGCTTATATAACTATTTCAAGGGCAAGTCTATTTCGATTGATTTTTAACTCGTTTAAGTCTACTAATGCACTATTAGTTGTTGCGTATGTGTGAGAGTTTTGAGGCACCCATTATGAATTAAATCGAATATCTTGGGGATAGGTTGGATGGGGTGAAGGTGAAACAAATAAAACCAAACAAAGGATACATTTTCATGTATATATTTGAAATATATATTAATATATATATATGTTATATATATATTTTGTTTTCATTCATGTATTTTGTTCTAAAAACGTGTTGTGATTGCTTTTTAAAAAATTAATTTAAAATTAATAAAATAGTTGCATTAAACATAATTCATATTGAAATGTTACAAAAAATTTATAACTATAACTTTTCTTTATATAGGCGATAATATATATATTTATATTTGCTAACATTTCTCTTTACCAAGGCTGCAAAGCAAAATTAACTAAAACTTAAACAATTTAAAAAGCCGTTTCTCCTTACTGTAGTACGCCTACTAAAACAAAATTCAACTAAAAGTTTTGTGTTTTTTGGGAAGAGGAAACAGGGAAAGAGGAGCTGGTTATTTGCTTTTCGCGCTTACAGACTAGATGTATACCTAATATAACTTGTAATGTGTGTTTGTTTTTCGTTTGTGGTAATATCAATTAAAACTAGGCATAAATATAAAGCTTAACATTCTTAAAACAATCGAAAATTGAGCATAAGGAAATAAGTAAATGGTGTGCATATACAAAATACATACATATAAAAATTATACATTAATAACAAATCATTTCTTGTGTTGTTTTTGTTTTATATTGTGGTTATCTTCGACCTGTTGGAAGGTTGTTGGCTTCGATTCCTTTTCTTTCGTTTCTCCCTTTGATGACTAACTAAATTAGTAGCTTGTAGTAGATAATAGTTGCTAATTTGGCCTGACTTTCATTTAGACACGTTTGGTGGTGTTTCCGTTTCCGATTCCTTTGCGTTTGCGATTGACGTTGCCGCTGTCGCTACTAGGACTGATGTGCCGGATGCGAAACGGCATCCCTGAGCGTCTTAAGACCCGCCTGAACATACCGGAAAACTTCATGCATGGTGCTATGCAGCGTTAGCGGGCCGTTCTCGTGATCCAGTTTGCGGAAGAAATCTGAGAGGAAGAAAATGATACACGGGATTAGGAATGCCAGTAAATCAAATTGCGTTTCCGTCTCACCTATATGGTTGCCTGTGCGCACCAATCGATCGGCTTGATCCCACAACTCGTGAGCACTATGCACATAACTCAGATACTCGTTCTGCTTGCACAACTGATTGTGTGTATCCTGAGGCACTATTTTGCCTGGCGGCGTATTCGAACCGGAGCCCTGAAATGGACAAATAACAACAATGATTAATGCTGCACATTGAAAAATTCCCTGCTATGTGGGCTTACCTGTGAGCCAACCGAGTTCGATGGTGATATGGAGGAAGGCGTGTTGCCGTTGACCATGTCTCCCCTGCCAACGCGAAAGAAATCCGTGAGGCTGGCAATGATGGCGCGGCAGTTTGCCCTTCGTAGCTTATAAAGCTTCAGTGATATCAACGACTGGCAGCGTAAACTGTACGACAATAATTAAGACAAATCCAACAAGATTATTAAAAAGATACGATTTTAAAATGTTTCTAATCGTAGGGACCTACCTGAGAATGGCCACTTTGTTGTGCGTTTCGTGCTGCCCGTTCGTTGACTGCTGATAGGGACGAAACTTAGTGGAGATAAATCTGAAAGTTGATGCCATATTAATATTGTGGATCGTTTCTATCACTCCCGAAGCTGTGGGCACTCAAATTTTGGCACACTTTACTCACTTAATTAGCGACAGGGTATCTTTGTACATTGTGTTTGTGGTCTGCTCGGTGCTGCAGCGCTCCATAGCGTCGGCAGTCAGCAGGAAGTAGACAACGGCCTCTAGATACAAGGTCACCTGGTTGAAAGAGTCACGCTCCGAGTCGGCAGCATGCTTTCGTCTGATGGCCTCCTGGAGGAAGTGATTGTTTTTTCTGGTGGATGGAAAAAACATAATTTATGTTAAATTTGTAACTACAAACAAAATGAAGAGATTAATAATTACCTAGGGTCGTCACTGGTTTGCTCCACATCGCGATCGAAGTAGGAGTGATAGATCAACCGCGTGGCAGGGGCCGGGGCAGCCGAGGCCGCTGTCGCAGAAGATGCCGTTGCCGAAGGTGGTGTCGTCTGCACCGCTTCGTTGCAGGTGGCAGGCGCCACAGAGACCGTCGGCGGAGGCGGTAGCGGTGACATCGCCAGCAGCTTTTTGCTGGGACTGCCATTTGGAGCGGACACATCGCCAACAGCAGCAGCTGCCGCGTCTTCGTGAAGCAACTGGAGCTTGTCGTAGGAAAGGCGATCATGGTTGGACATTCGCTCGTGGTTGTTGGAGGGCAAAAGCACGGGCACTGGCAGCAGTTCTTTGCCGATCTGTACTTGGTCGCTTTTCTCCTTTTTCCGTTTCTTTTCCTTGTAGGGACTAGAACCGGAACTAGAGCTGCGTTTCCGCCGTCGCCCAGGAGGCTGCTCACGTTCACGATCGCGCTCACGCTCTCTTTCCCGTTCTCGCTCTCTCTCCCTATCCCGATCGCGCTCCTGCTTAAGTTGGAACTCCTGCTTGACGTTGCCGGGCTTAAATTTGGACTCGTAACCAGCGTCTAGCTCGGGCTCCGGTTTCACCGGATGCTCGTTTTTCACCTTGGTCACAGAATTTGTGTCACCGGCATAGCCATTGGGCACATGAACCGCATTCGTCGCCTGATCCTTGGGCGTTAGATGGCCATTCTGCTGGGCGGGAGTAAGTTTCTTGAGGCGCATAATCCGCTCCCGCGAAAGCTTGCTTAGATCAATTTTGCATATCAAAGAGGTGAGGTGTGGCGTGGTTGTCCTCGCTGGGGAGGCCAGACTGCCTCCCAGCTGTTGCTGCGAGGGCGTCATCCGATGCTTCGTCATGATTGCGGCAGCGGCTGCAGTTGGTGCCTGTGGTGGCTGTGCCGCCGCATCCAACTTGCCCTGCTGCTGCTCCTCCTGCAGATCCACGATCACAACCTGGCCTTGCTTCTTGGCGCCGCCCTCCTTCGGATTAAATATCCTCGTCAACGTATTTATCTTGTTTTTATCGCTCTTCGGTTTTCGTTCACGCTCCTTTTCACGGCGCGCCTCATCCTCCTCGCCGCTGCTGCTGCTGCCACCACCGCCGCCTCCACAGCCTCCACTCGATGAAGAGCTGTCGGAACTGCTTAGCTGCTGGCTATGCTGACTGATTGGCAGCGGCGTATAGGGCGGCAGTTGCTGTGAAAGCGACTGTCCACTTCCAACCTGGTTTCTGCCCTGATCTTCCGGCTCGCTGTCACTGCTAGGTGAACTACTCCCGCTGCCCAGCAGCGCCTTCTTTTGCACGGCGCCAGTTTTGTTCAGCTTGACTATCCGGCAATTTGTGTTTTGGGTTTCCGTGTCATCGCTGCTGCTCGAGGAACTGCTCGACTTGGAACTGGATCCTGCGCTCGAAGAACTGTCGTCGTCGGAGCTGCTACTGCCAGCATTAACACTTGCCGGTTTCATAGGAGCGGCTACCAAATGAGGGGTGGCAACCTTTTTGGTGGGCGTATTACCGTTGGAGCTGCTCTGGCTGGAATGTTCGCGTTTCCTCGCCCTGCTCATGGCCAGCGGTGTTTTGGCGAGAGGCTTTTTAGCAGCAGTCAGCGTTGGGCCTTTAGTCTGGGAGCTGCTTCCGGCGGATGCACTACTCAGGTTTCCACTACCACCACTTTGTTGTTGTTTTCGCGGTCGTCCGCGTCCTTTTTTCACCGTATCCGCCGCGGGCTGAGTTTGAACTGAAACAGCAGAATGATCCAGTCCAGGGTGCTTGGCTGGCGGCTCATCGTCATCGCTCGAGTCCAGAATGGGGGCACTTGTAACCGCCTTTTTCTTCCGAGGCTTCTTTTGTCGCTGTTTTGGTGATGTGGGCAGCGGAAGAATGGGCATAAGGGTGACGCTGTTACTCGGTGGTACCTTCTGTGACTGCGTCGGTGGTACTCGCATAACCGTTGTGATGGCAGCTGGAACACCGGGCAGCTGAAGAGTTTCTCCGGGACCCGGCATGGGGACCACATCCCCGCCAGTCGCACTGTCCGAGCTACTGCTGCTGCTAGAGGAGCTTCCACTAGCACTGGTTCCGGAATCCGAGAGTCGGGCTGAGTGTAGTGCCTCCGCCGTCTCGCGTTTGATTTGGGTTTTTGGTATCGCTCCTAATGCCATCTCTGAAACAGCGTCGATGGCCTCCTTTTTCACCGCCACCGGGGTGACACTAAGGCCACCTCCATAGCGTATTTGTTGCTCCTCTTCGTCGTCCTCCTCCTCACCTTCTTCCATGGCCATGTGATCGTCGTGGATCTTTTCGTTCTTAACAATGGCTGTGGTCACATCAATGGACTCGGGTATGATTTGGGCTCCCCCTGGCAGGATGCCTGGCACCTTCATGCTTACATTGCCGGGCGAGACGCTTTCGGAATTTGTCTGGTTGGCGGGTTTGTGGAAAAACCGACTCAGATTCCACTTGTTGCTTTCCGTGGGCGATGGCGTCTTGTTCGACGAACTGCCTCCACTGCTCAGAGTGCCAACTGATCCATTCCCTGCGCCGACAGCTACATTGGAGTTTACACCAGATGATCCACCATTGCCGCTTCCAAATCCACTGGAGCTGAGCAGTCCTGTTATTGTATTACTGCCACGGGCAATGATCTCATGCCTGTATTTCTTATTCTGGGCCCCGTTGGACGTCAGTGGTTGGGGCCGATGCTGTTGCTGGAGGACTTGCTGCTGCTGCTGCTGTTGCTGCTGGATAGATGGCTGCTGCTGCAGTTGGTGATGCTGCTGTTGGTGGTTTGGATGGTGCTGTAGATCGTTCTTGCTGCTCGACTCACTGCCCGACTCACTGGAATCGGACTCTGAACTGTTACTGCTGTTGCCCGCCGATCGACTAGAAAAAAATCAGTGTTTAGATTTTAGGATTATAAAATAGCGTGTTTTCCGGCTTACCCTTCCTTCTTTTTCTGTTCATCCTCTGATTCGGACAACTCCAGATCGTTTTCCAGGCTAGTAAATTTAATGGAATAATGCATTAGTACAAAATTAGCTTTTAAATAAAATGTTGACGTTTATTTACCAGGAGTCTTGCTTCTCCAGCGAGTGATTCTTTTCCATTTTGAGCGGCTTGGCCAATGGCGGCGACGTGACTACGGTAGCTGCTTTGGGCGGAGTGGGTGGCAGTTGAAGCAGCGGCGCCAAAGTCTCTCCAGATGTCGTCCCACTTGTTGCTCCGCCCAAGGGCAATTGGCTAGCCTGTGGCGGTGTTGTTAACAGGGGGGCGATGGGCGAGGATATTGGCGCGATAGGAGGGAAAAGTGGCGTCATCAGCGACGAAGGCTCCGCAGAGGGAGGGGAGCCGATCATGTCAATTGCATACTTTTGTTTGTTGGGCGCGGTCAGGTTGTAGTTCTCCCGCGTTGGTGCATGTGGCGTGGCCGCTATCAATGTGAGAGGCGTCACCCAGAAGGTGCTTGCAATGTCGCTGATTATCTTGTTGACGTCCTTCTGCGGAGTGAAAGGAAGGATTGGTTTATATATAATCCCAAGGATTGAAAAGATTGTAAAAGGTGCAGCATCAGCTGTAACGTTTATAACTTTTCAATTCAAATAAATATATTACCTCCGGTGGTGGCGGTTGTTGACCCGCTGCTGGTCGTTTATTGGCCGCTGGCGGCACAAATCGTCCTGCGGTGCCATTGTGAAGCGCTGGGGGTGGTGGTCCAAGAAAAGATTTCTCCCGCCCATTGGGCATCTGCGTGGATAGGGGCGGCCCCAGCGGCGTGCTGGCTGGGACTCCGCCGCTGCTGGCATTGTTTGTGGCGCTGGACGAGTTACTGTTGCTGGAACTGGATCTGGGCGGGCCGCGAGGAGGGGCCATGCCACTACTCGACGGAATGTCGTTCTTCATGGGCTGGCCAGGATAACCGCCTCGACCATTGTAGGGCGGTTTGTTGTCCGCCTGCTTCAGATACGTCGGCGGCCGCTGTTGTTGCTGGTAGTGCTGTTGCTGACCGGGCAGCGCTGAGGTTGCAGATGTGGACCCTGCTGATGAGGAGGCGGAGGAGGGTGAATGGCCCAGGGACTTGGCTTGCGGCGGCAGTGGCGCCTGCAGGCGCGGATTGCCGGCGCCGGGCGCACTTCGACTGATCCCCACAGTGGACTGATTAATGTATACCCGCGCCTCGACGAACTCGCCCAGGGCTGCGGTAATCTCCGCATCATCCTCAGTCAGTCGTCGCGGCTCTGCGAATAGACTAGTCTCCCGATCGTCAATCTGTATGCCCTGTTGTCGCTCGATTTTCTCACGCTCACGTCTTTTCCGCCGCTCGTACTCCTCCATGCTGAAAATCGTATAAAGGTTTATTATTAAAATGGATTGACTTGCTTTTACTGCTCTTGTGGGTTCGTTTATTTTTCATTAACTTGTTTTTTTTCTTCATTGTTTAATGGGTTGCAGTAACAGTAACAACATAAATTAGAACAGCAAACAAACGTCACAGGAAGTACAACAACAACAGCAACAAACATGAAACGCATAAACAGCTTGAGGTCTCAAAGGTTTCATCCAGGACAAGACAAACAAATTGTCATGCATTGCGTGCTTTGGGTTCGTCAAAGACCTTAAGACAGCCACAGTTTTAAATGGAGAAAAGCATATTCACGATTATACTTAAAGAAAATTTGGTTTGTCTTCTCTCTCAGGAAATGGAAATTATTATGTTTCGACTTTTAACAGAATATACTTAAGTGTTTACGGTTTATGAACTCGATTTCTGCTCAACCTCCCCTCCCTGATTTTGGTCGTTCGTCAATATTTGACCCAGCTTTGTGGACATGGGTGTTGTTAGGTGCCAACAGTTTGACAAGCATAAGATAGGTGTCAACGGTTAGACATGCACACACGCAAGCTACGAAGCATTTTTTGGGTTTAAAGGAAAGTGGGGGCGTTAAAATTGTGCAAATGTTTGCATTTGATTTTGTCTGGTTTTTAAGTCTAGTAGTGGTAGTAGTGGTGCAGACATGCTTGAGGACACAACAGATATATATGATAGGAGTATGTGTATGAACAGCAACGAAGAGACAGATATGTGTAGAGAGAGAGAGAGACAGAGAGAGAGATGGAGGACGGAGACAAACACAGACAGAGATAGAGTGCAGTGACTCTAAAACTTACTTATAATTTTGGCTATACAACAAATTGTTATTGTATTGCTGTAGTTGCTCTAGTTGTTGTTGTTGTTGGGGCTGTTGTTGCTGAAGAAGGAGAAGGCTGTTGTTGTTGTTGCTGCTGGTGTGGTGTTGCTGTTGAAGTTGTTGTTGCTGCTGCTGTGCCATAACGCGCGCTTAGTACAAATAAAATAATTAAATTATCCTCAGCTGAGAGGGCACACACACACACACACAGACAGGCAAACAGACAGACAGGCACACGCACACAGCCAAAGGATGATAGGAAGGGAAGTGGGGAAAGGGTAGATTGGAAGAGGGGACTGTGCAACTAATCTTCCCCTCTCTATCCCACTAGCTCTATGACTATCTCGCTCGATTGCTCGCTTATGTTATCGTTGTAATTTTGCGACGTTGAAACGTCGCTTTATTGTTGTCGATGTCGCTGTTGCAATTGTTGCAGTTGTTATTGCTTTTGCTGCTCTTGTTGTTGTTGTTGCTTCTCTTGCTTTGCTTTTGTTTTTGCATTTGCAACATTTTGGAATTCTGCAGTTTGGCAAGCACTATCGTTGTTGCTTTCCTATTCTTTCTTATTTCCTTGTTTTCTTTTTCTACTCGCAGACTTTTCTCGTAAATGCTGAACTTGATTTGTTGGTTAGGGATTTTGATCGTATCTTCTATAGTCTTTTATTGCTTGAGTACGTTGCTAAAAGAGTGCTTGTGTGTGTGTGTGAGTAGGAAAAATAAAGTTGCAGTACCTGAAACGAGAACAGAAAAGTACAAAAATTAGTTGCCTACTTCTCAGAGCATTTTAGTATTACAAAATTAAATCAAAAGAACTTCATTATGTCCTTGCATTCACAATGATCGGGTATGCGAAGTACTTACAACTAAAGCTGAAAGGAATTTCCAACCACATAGAACCACACATGTACATTAGGGTGGACCCATTAAGTGAATTGAAACATCATAAGTAAGTTACAGTTCATACCCAATGTTTAAAAACAGAATAGATACTTTAATTTTTTATGCCTAAATTTAAATTTATTTAATTCAAATTAAACAGGTTGAACTACCTGATAGGTTCACTCTGATTCCCACACATAAGTACTTGTAACAGGCAGCAGTGAATGTCACTCGCCTTCTCATTATGCAAACGGAAACCCAACCACCCGAACCACCCACATATGGCTGCGAGGATTATGGCCGACGCCCGTCACATCCTGTGTCCTCAGTACTCAGACCTCAGTTGTTGCCATCATTTGGAGAACTTGCCACAAGAACTGGAAACTGAGAACCGAGGAACTGTGGCATCTGCTTGGCTTGGCTTGGAGTGCAGCGCTTAGATTCACTTAACCCGAGACTGGCAGAGGACAACGATGTCCTTTTGGGCGTATTCTTATGGAAAATTTGCAACTTGAACTACATAGGCTAGGTGGTTTCAGAGGCCAGAGGAACAGCATATTCAATTTAAATGGCTAAAACTGTTTTTTAAATATAACTTTAAGAAATGAAATTATATTTTCTTCAGATTTTCATTTACACCCTTTACCAAGTTTTTTAGACAAAATATACTTTTTATTTATGAATGAAAAACGTGTCAGTTAAATTAATTTTCTGGTCACAAACGACAGACGTACCAAGCTGACCCTTTTTCCCGTTGCTTAGTCGGAAAAAGAAGGGACAGAATGACAGACTGAGTCACAAATCTGCTGGCTTTCGGGCATTCAGTTTTTTGTGTTTGTGCTGCTACAATTTATTTGTCTTATAAATTTTGTTAACATCTCAACTGAGGGAGAGCCAGAGAGACAAACATTTAATTATTTTATTTCGGAAGAACTTTTCCTACCCCTCCTACACAGTGCTTGCAAATAGTTTATGCACGTCACCGAAAATAAATGGAAGACGAGTCGCCCGACGCAGCCAGAGAAAAAGCTTGACAAACTTTCTGATTCTGGCTCTCTGCTGGGCCGCCCTTTTGGTTTCTGGCTATTGCTTAATTTATATGTACAAGTATATCTATGTATATGTATGGCCGGCAGTCCAGTCCAGGGCCAAAACCACTGAACTCATCCGCCGAACCACCCGGAAAACCATGAAAACCATCCAACCTTTTCCCGTCCTGTGTGGCCGCTTTAATGTGCGTCCATTTAATCTAAAGCTACTATAATTTGTCCTTTTCTGTGTGTGAGTTTCCAGTTGTGCGTTTCGGCTTTTTGTATATTTGCATTTTGACTTTTGCTCTAGTCTGGCCATTGCAATTCCATTGCTGCCAATTATAAATAATTTTCACAGAGCATTCAAATGGCAAGCAGGAGGTACTAATCTGATGGTTTAACTTGTTATTTGTTATCAAGAAAATAAATCCAGCTGATTAAAAACTTAAAATTTAAATAGATTGAAGAGAGGGTAAATTTATTTAAAAACTTTTAGCGTTATTTTTGTGTACAAATAGTAATTTCAAAGAGAAATTTAAATTTTTTTTTCCTTTTCTTTTGTGTTCTCTGTCAAAGGGCCACTCCCGTTTCATCGAGCTTTTCACACTTGTCTATTTACTCTGTTTTCCTTTTACAACAAATACTTTGACAACGAAAGAGTCTTGGGCCCAAAATCATGCAAGCACTGAGAGAAATCAAGACGCTGATTAGCAAAAGGAATATCAAAGGATTAAGGCTCTTTCTCTGCTCTCTGTCTTTTAAATTAATAATAAAGTTTCTTAAATAAAAACTATAACATCAAATTAAAATGTATCAAAGTTATTCTTAGTGCAGACACCAACAGAGGCAAGTTCACACTGAAAGGCACCTCTGACGCTTGTGCTGGGGCATATGTTATGAATTTTATGCAAATATGTTTCGGGAGAGCAGACCCCCAACTCCCCAAAGGCAGTTCCATTTTCCCTGCAAGAGTTTAGCACAATTCGTGACGTTATAAATTCTTATTTGTTTGCCGTTTTCCAGTGGGTTCGCTGCTCTATTAACATTTAAATCGTTTTTTTGGGGTGTTACGAAAAAACACAGCATTCGTCTGGGCTTGTTTCTTACAAGTCAAGAAAAGTTCGTGTAACGAGTGTAAGTAACTTTTGACTTATTGGAAAAAGTAATCTGAATCATTTTTTTTTGCTTTCTACTTAATGCATTTATTTAATCCTTTTTAACTCGTTGTCCTCAATGTATGTATAACTTTTATAGGAAGTCAAGGAAAGTAAAAGTGTGCAATACACAAAGAATAGTTCTTGTTTCGGTTTCGTTTTGATGAGCCTAATAGCAATCAGGTTCACTTCATTCATGGCTGCTGCAGCCTGCTCATCGTGAATCATTTAACAACATGCACAAACATTAAATTACGCATGGAATTCCCTTTTACCGAGGCCCAGAGCACCCCGACACAGGCAATGGAACACACAAGACTCACCAACCAGCTCTTGGCATAGAAAATTCAATTCAATTCAAGGGGCACAAGGCGGCCCGGGAAGGGGCAGGATAAAGGCAGGACGAAGGCTGGATGAAGACCAAGACAGAAACGAACGAACACATGCGACTAATTTCATATTCATATGCATATTTAGACTAACTACCAGCCGAGGGAGGCGGCTGCAATACAGGGCCGAGAGCACAAGATGATGACGCTGCGATGGAGGGGGCAAGTGGGATGGCGGCTGGGAAAGCAAAAGGCAGTCACTGCACACATTGGCACGCCTAATTTATAACACAAAAGTCTACTTAACTCCCCTGTGGAAACTACAAGCAGAGACGCCGCCGCTAAGCCGCCGACTGGAGAGGTGAAAATAAAAATAAAAGGAATCCAGGAAGCCTACTTTCGTTGACCGAAGCATCGGATACCCATGAATCTCTACTGCATACTGTAATACTGAATCTAAATCAACTTCTTAATACATCAAAAGGGTTAAATCCACACTAATTAAAACAAGAATACTAAAGAATTCTTAGCCCTAATGAATTTTGAAGTTTTCATTTTAAAATGTCCAACTAAATCATAATACCCTTGACAAGGGTGTAATACAACGAAGATAGCAGAGTGGCCAGCAGTGAGTTGTGAGAGGCGGGGGATGAATTATCCCCATTTTGTTGGGCAGTGCATAAACAAAGCCAGGTCTGCTGCTTTCCTCTGAGTGTGACTAGGGTGTGTGTGTGTGTGTGTTTGGACAGGATTTATTATCAAATGGGCGCCATAGACTAACGACCATAGCCACAGTCGCTTTACCTCACCACCTCGCCACTCACCACCCTCCCATTTCCCGCCATTTCCCACATCCTGCCACTCGGTCCGCAACAAACAGCCTTTGGATGGCACCGAGCACAGTACTTTCGTATGTCTGTACAAGCAGAGTCAACAAATTTTATGGTAGTCATTAAACTTTCTTTCAGCAGAGAGCCTCAAACTCGAATCCAACTTGGACTACACTCGGTTTAGGTGGGTTAATTTATATCTTTAAGGTCCTCCACCTGCTGAGAACGAAGCAGATAGTTTGTGTCTCTGGCTCAGGGGATGGAAATTTATTTAATTAATTTGAGCAGTTTAGCTTTCGTTCGAGTGTAAATATTGAAAACAAGTTTAAAATGTCCCACTAACCAAATTTAGAGTGCATTAAGTCTTTTTTATGAATTTAATATATTATGTAGTTGTTGATTACTCAAAGCCAGTTTATGCCGTTTAATAATTCGGTCAATTCCAGTTGTTGCCGTTTAATTGAAAGCTTTAACCTGCTGCTAACAATTGCCTGCCATATGCAACATTGAGCATATTATTTTACAAATAGAACGACAATTTGTCTTTCAATTAGCCTTGATTGAGTTGTTTCGAATTGCCTACTTTTTTGGGTTGCCTGCAGTTTCCAATCAATTTCATATGCACACGCATTTGACAGGTGAGTGGGCTGCTGGTTAGCTGCCTGCTCATTCCTGTCAACTTGGTTCAATTTCCATGGATATATATATATATATATGTATATGTATATAGGTGGATATATAGTGGACGGACTATTATCTGCACATGCAGCGTTTATCTGCTCTGTCCGGACACCTTGACTTGTCCGGTCCGACGTTCGTTTGGCTTCCAGCTAGCTTTCAAACACAAACAGCCTCGCCCCTCACCAGACTTCATATTGATGCTGACGCATATTTCCTGCTTCATTAACAGCAACGCCG